TCTTGACGTGGGCGTTGTTCGCACGCGAGCACGCGCACGCACGCACGCGCGCGTGTGCATGGCGAGAGTTATGTGGGAGTGTTGGGTCAGTGCGTGTGTGTAAACATCGTGGTGAGCGGCGGTGGTGCAGCGGTTAGCGCGCTGCGCTGCACGAGCCCGGCGTGCCCGGAGTTCGATATCCGCTCGCGGACAAGAACAGTGGCGAATATCTGAACCGGTCCTGGGCCTCCCCTAGGTCGACTCGGCCTCAAATATTCCGCACCTCCGATTAGCACGGGTTGGCTCCCACTCGGGAGACAAAGGCGGTCGGGCATGGTGCTGGCCACCCACCCCGTGCGTGCACCGTTCTGGCCTTCATAGGTGCTCGCGAACAGCACTTTCCCCGAAAAGTCTGTTAAGGCTAAAAGGCTGTAGACATCGCCACTAAGGAGACAACGGCGGCTGGACGTGGTCGCAATGTGTCCTGGCGTTTGGGCCACCCTGTACATTACTTTGTCCTCTCGTGTGTTCTGCGTGCGATTAACGTGAATGCATCCTCTACGGCTCAGTGACACATTGTCCTGCGGAGGGAGCTGGTAGGAACGTCGGGTTGCTCGGTCAATGGCCTGCAGGGTCAACGGCGGCGTGGTGTATTCCGCAAATATGGCCGACTGTGAGGGCGGGCACAAGCCGGCGTGAGTAGGTTGAACGTTGAGTTTTATAAGGGCACCACGGGGTGACCAGCCCCTCCCCACCCAGCCCACCCCTCCCCTCCCCACCCTCCCCACCCAGCCCCTCCCCACCCAGCCCCTCCCTGCACGACTGTGGGCTGGTGTAGCCAGGAGGTTCCTACCAGTATAAGGAGGAGTCTCCAATGATCTCATAGATGCAAACAATCCCCAATGCACAGTTCTTTACCCTCGCCGCAAGACACACACACAAAGTCAATGCGTGTGTAATAATTATCAGAGCATGTTTTTTGCATGTTTTGCCACAAGTACTGTGTGGTTCGTGCAGACTTGCTGCCTTACAAAAGGTATATATTTGGTGTTTGAACATATTAACACCTGTTTAATCATTGCCAAAAATGGTCAAACCTCTTCTTATTGTTTTCAACACTCACTCACGGAAGTCGATTTTCTGTTTGAAAAAATATTTTATTTATTTCAGTGATGCCCGCATGGAGTTTCATTCAACAAACACAACATTTACACAGCGTCGCCGCGGTCTCTCGGAGCGCTGGAGGTGCACAGCGCCGAGCTCTAGAGAGTTCATGATGCAGCACGGAGCTTAGTTTTGGCACGGGCCCTGGTGTGGTAAGGAAGGAAAGGGCCGTGTCCCGGTGGCAGTTGCACCGCCTTCACACTCCACCACAGATGTTGTCGCCACTGCTCCCCCGCTGGGACGCGTGGCGGCTCTTGCTGAGTGACGCACGCGCGAGTGCGAAGTGTGAGACTGTGAGTATGTGTGAGGATGTGTGTGAGACTGTGTGTGAGACTGTGTGTGTGTGAGAGTGACTGTGTGTGTGTGACTGTGTGTGTGTGGCTGTGTGTGTCAGACTGTGTGTGTGTGTGAGGCTGTGTGTGTGAGACTGTGTGTGGCTGTGTGTGTGTGTTTGAATGTGTGCGTGTGAGCCTGCGTGTGAGACTGTGTGTGTGTGAGGTTGCGTGTGTGTGTGAGACTGTGTGTGTGTGAGAATGTGTGCGTGTGAGACTGTGTGTGAGACTGTGTGTGTGAGGTTGCATGTGTGTGTGTGATACTGCGTGTGTGTGTGTGATACTGCGTGTGTGTGTGTGGGACTGTGCCCCAACAGTCTGTGCAGGCGATACGGGGGATCTTTGTCTTCGTGTGTACGATCCGTATCTTTGGTGAGAAGTGCAAATGAGCGCGCGCGCGCGAGCACACAGAGAGAGACACCTGCGGCTTGGATTGAAACGGCAACATTCGCGAAGAAATCGGCGCACCGAGCGGATGGCGGCGATGGCTCCTCATTGTAGCTACGATCATACAATGATGACGACACCGATAATAATAATAACGACAATAACAACGACGATGATAATGATGAAACAATTATAGTGTCGTGTTCGTTCGACGATGATTGTACGAAGACGACGGACGCCGATCTTGATCATTTAAACAAACAACAACAACAACCGCACAGATCACGACGCCACCAACGATAACGACAGTGACCGATGATGACGATGATCATGACGATGACATTGACAATGATCAGCAATCGTCATCGTGGGCGCTTCCGATTGTTGTCGCTGCTGCCCCCTTGCACGTGCTCGAGCAGGAGGAGGCCGTCACGTGGCTCTGTGGCTACGCCGGGGCTCACGTCCACACTCACAGCGCAACGTCAACGACACACGCGGACGGCGCAGTCACTCAACCATCATTCTCACGTCTTGTGCATCTGGCGCTCTTAACTGAGCAACAGCAACAAAAGCGCGTCGCTCAATCAACGTTGACGGGTCGCTGGGACTCCCCTCCCCCCCGCTTAGTTCGATGCGCGTGAACCCCAGCAGCTGGGTGCCTCGTGCGCGCGCGCGCACGCACGCACGCGCACGCACGTGTACGCACCGCCGCCGCTGTGTTGAAGTGGCATCAGCACACCGACAGCCGTAGGACGATTTCATCGGTGCCCTTCATAGAAACACAGCAACGGCGCGGCGCCAGAGAGTTAGAGAGTTAGAGAGAGAGAGAGACCCTCTCACCCGCCGCCACGGTCCCGGGACACAACCCTCGCACCCTTGTGAATGGCTTCTGGTTTCCTAACCCGACTAGCCCAGCTCTTCGCTGCCAGCATGCCCCCACCCCCCATCCCCCCACCCCCCCCACCCCCACCCCTCCACTAGCTCCCCCCCCCCCGGCCCCCCAATTATATTCCACAGTAATCCTGCAATCGGGCGTCGCGCCTCGACGATGAGACGCAATGACATTCAGTTTGGAACTCTTGAGCGGCGAGCAATGCACTCCGCTGTGCTGCAGAGAACGGTCTCTGCCACACCCCACCTCACCCGCGCCATCACCTCGCCCAGCACCTGCCCCCACCGCACCCCGACGTGGAAGAGAATGTGACAGAACTTCTTCTGAAGTCACCTCTTTGTCCGCATTAGCGGCGCGCAGTTTTAATGCCCCTGACAGGTTTTCGTTCGTCGTATGTCAATCAAACCCATTTTGTACAAAAAAAAAATATCAGCGCTGAAACTGAACGCGAATCAAACGGGAAACACCACGTTTAATATAATCGTGGTGTTTTTTTTTGCATTTATCGGCGACCAGGCTGAGTGAGACCGTGAATTCGCAACGCCTGAGAACCCAGTTTCATCACGAATGGGCGGTTGAAACCCGGATTCGAGCCCAGGCTCTCAACGCTGCCGGCTCAGCGACTCTGACCCCTGCCCGGACTATCTGCCCATGGTTTTGTTTTCATCTTTTGTTTACTACCAAAATGCGCTCTGAGCTTCAGACCTCGAGCCCACTCACCCCTGCGATCCACTCACCTCTGAACCCTGCACCACCACCACCACCACCCACACCAGCACCATCACCACCACCCACACCAGCACACAATAGACAAAGACACCCCCCCACCCCTATAGCATTACCAGAATGATGGGGTTAGTTGTTGTTAGCGAGCACCTATGAAGGTCGAGAGAGCACGCGAGGGTGGGGGCGGGGGGGGTAGCACTACGCTCGGCCGCTTTAGTCACAACGCACCAGGCACTCGTTTGCGGCTGAGTCGACTTAGGGGAGGCCCAAGACCGGTTCAGATAATCGACACCGGTGTTGGTGAGCGGCAATCGAATTTCGGGTCGCCGGCTTCGAAGTGGATCTACACTGTCGCTCCCACATCAAATACAAAGTTCCCCCGTATAGCCTTAATAAACTGTTGGGGCAAGTGCAGTTAGCAAGCACCTATGAAGGCCAGAACGGTACACGCACGGGGGTGTGTGGCCAGCACTACGCCCGACCGCCTTTGTCTCCCCAGTGGCGATGTTTACACACCGCACCAGCTACTCATGTGAGGTTGAGTCGATTGAGGAGAGGCTCAAAACGCGGTTCAGACAATCGTCACCGATGTTGGCCGTGAGCGGGAATCGAACTCGGGTTCACCGTGGCCCGTAGCGCAAACCGCTGCACCGCCGCTCCCCGGCACACATCAGCGCATGCACACACACCCACACTAACCCACACATACACATCCACACACTCACACACACCCACACGCACCCACACGCACCCACACTAACCCACACATACACACCCACACGCACTCACACGCACCCACACGCACCCACACACCCACACACACCCACACAGACACCCACACACACCCACACACACCCACACACACACAGACACCCACACACACCCACACACACCCACACACACACAGACACCCACACGCACCCACACGCACCCACACACACCCACACATATTCATCCAATCCTGTGCGCGCGCTGTGGGAGCACAGGGGGTCCGTGAGTTGAATTAGTCTTATAGGGGGGGGTGGCAGGGGTGGTAGGGGTGGCGATAACATAGCTCGCGTGAATCGGGGGGGTCGAACGAGGACTGATGTTCAGAGCGGCGCCTTCTCTGCGCTGCTGTCCCAGTTGCTAATTCGCACTTAGCTCCGTGTCAGCTCGATGCCGAAACACGCCCGACGCGAATTCGATCCGCGCTCCGATATCAAAACGTCGCGACCGCGCCCACTCTCGCACCACCGCCTCGTGGTCGTAGCTCGCTGGCACCTTGCCCAACGCGTGCCAGGGGGTGGGGGGCAAACTCTCGCATTGAACCGCTTGTTGTTTTATTGTCGTCGTCGTCGATGTTGTTGTTGGGCGCATGATGTCCGACGTTTCGCTGCACGAAAACAAAAATTCGTCCAGATTCAGTAGAGTTTTGTTTTCTTGGTTCTTTCGGTAAAGTCACGTAGAAGGGAAATAATAAAATAATAAGAATAAAACATAATAAAGATGTATTTTTTATTACTTTTATTATTTCCCTTCTACGTGACTTTACCGAAAGAACCAAGAAGATGAATCCCTGCAGTCACGAAAGCTTTAAATCGAAATTTAGAGTTTTGTTGTTGTTGTTTGTTGTTGTTGTTGAAGGAGCACCCAGCAAAACATTGTCGGCCAACGCCGTCAGGGCATCTCGCCGAAACAAACAAGAAATCCCGAAGAAGCTCCGGGCACGTGACGCGAAACGTCGGACATAATGCCGGACAACAGGCGGTGCAACCGGAGGACAACACATCGGAGAGACGCGTGTTTGTTTTTCTCGCAGTGAAACGGTGGTCAGTGGTGGAAATTCCACATTGATGTGGTTGGTAGCGACCGGTTTTCGTCTGTCACAACAGACATCGCTCTATTTGTGGAGCCAACGCTGGATTGAGGCCTCTTCCACGCCGTGTCGGTCACGGGGGCTTGTTGGGTCAGCGGGGTTTTCGTGAAGAGAACAGGGCGTGGAAGGGTCGTGGCGGTTTCATATGTCACTCGCCACCGATGCATAACCCTGGTCAGGAATCGAACTCGGGTTACCGAGTTACACAGCGCAATGGGTTTGGCGCTGCGCCACAAGCAAATCGAGTGATCACGCGGATTCGTACTTTGTGTACCCCCCACGAATGTATCGCTCAGTCTGAACCCTTGCCTCCAAAAAGCGACGGATCGCTGACGTGCTCATCATCATCATCGTCGTCGTCACTTGCCCGAGGTCGATAAAATAGGTACCGCTTAGTTGAGCTGCAGCACCGGCCACGAGAGAGATGTGCCACTCGCCGTAATAAGAACGTGGAATTTCCACCACCGACGCTTGTTCAATCGACAACACGCGCATGCAACACGCACAAGCCGCTGGGGTTGCTGCGATAAAATGTTTTCACGACACGATATCAATGTTCACGATATGACGATCATCGCGATATCAGCTGCCCATAATGCTGCACTTGCATCGATCATTTGGATTGTAATATTTCGTTGCTCGGCCGCACTTCCCCGTCCGAATCGAAAACGCAGTAAGGGTGGCAACGTCGGTTCTACGTTGGGCCAACGTTCAGAGTTTAGTGGGATATTTCTTCAACGTTCCTCAACCGTTGCTATTAGTCTGATACCAAACGCAAACGCATAATAATCCATAACGCATAAAAGCGCAATGATCAGTGATTAGTTTGGCTCCTGCAACAGCCTCGGGCGACAGAGACACTGATTTAGATAGAACGCGAGTGACCGCCATTTGTTATTTTCGCCAATATTTTGTCAGAAAAGAACACATTTTAAAACGAGATATCGAACGAACAACGAAATTTTGGTACGATACAATTGTATCGTACGAGACGATTATCATACGATACGATTATCGTACGATTTAACCAATGGCATCACCCCGCGTCGCAACGTGCTCGGTGGATTACTGATTGCATTGCAGGATCGTGAGAGATGGCCGATGGCATGGGCTAGGGTAGGCGGGGCATTCATCCAGCAGTGGATTGAACACGGGTGCTGCATCAGCAGCCGTGTGAATAGAAGACGCAGTAAGCGTGCCAATGTCGGTTCAACGTTGGCCCAACGTTCAGAGTTTACCGGGATATTGTTGCATCAGAAGCAGCTGATGCTGCAGCAGCTGATGCTGCTTCTACTGCTACTACTGCAGCGGCAGTTGCTGCGTGATTATGATAATGATGATGGCGATGATGATGATTATTGATTTCGCGGGACATCACAATATCGCGGCAACCCTACAAATCTGCAGAACCCAATAATTGCCACTCAGAGTGTAGGTGGGGCGGGGGGGGGGCGGAGAGGGATACAAATAAATTACACACGAGCAGAGAAAGGCGTCACCAAAACGAGAAGCGTCTCCACTCTAGCAAATTTAAAAACAAATAGCAAACAACAACAACAACTATAATGCCACGAGTCTGCCAAGAAGACAGTCGCGCTCCGACGCGCACGTGCGCGTGCCAAGTGGCCCCCAGGGGTAACGGGAACTCGACGATTAGCTGAACAATCGCGGCTGCTGCTCGTTCACCCCCAAGAGTGGACCAGGGCGATCCGCCTATAGATACCCCGCCGATGCGTTCACGGTAACGAAGGAAAACAAGAAAGCGGGTGTGGACCAATCAACTTCAAGGACAGTGCATACATTATCAGAGTTATGTTTTTGTTTGTATTATGACTGCAGGTATTGTGGTCTATGCAAACATGACTCCTTGTAAAAAAAGGTGTTAGTTTTGTTGCCAGATAAAAGGGTAAAAAACAATTATCAAGAAAGCGGAACTCCAGTGTGCCTGCCCAAATATAAATAATAATGATGATGATGACAAAATTACGTGCGAATTTAGAACATCGACCCTACCTATTGGCTTTACACAATTTAGGTTTTTTTTAGAATTTCGGTTGAAATATTCACTGGTTTTACGCTTCTGGAAGACGTGCAGAGTAGATTCTCTGGACTCAAAATGCTCCTTCCCTCCACAACGTGTCCACCGCTGTGCGAGTGAGGTATCTACAAACGGATCACCCCCGTATACTGCATACACTGTCTGCTCGAACCTCTCCGATGTAGTAAAAATAATGCCACATTCACACGACACGAGGACACCAATCGGCGACGGGCGCGTGCCCCCCAGGACCGCCGAGGTGGCGACGTTCGCTGGCAGCCCCAACATTCTGGAACGATATCCCTCTGCACATTCGCAGCATCACCTCAATCGCGTCCTTCAAGAGAGACTTAAAAACTCACCTCTACAATCATGCTTTTGAGCGACTCTGAGCTTGGCTCCGCGCCTCTGAGTTGCGGCCACTACGTCTGCAAATTTGCGCGCGTTACAAATTGAACTATTATTATTATTCAACGCGGTCGCCCTAGTGGATTCGACACAGCGTCTGTCAAAACGTTGGGGACACAATGCGGTCTGCTGCTGCTGCTGCCTGCTGGGCTTGATGATCTATCGTTCGCTGGGGGGGGGGGGGGTGAGTTAAACTCAGAGGATCTCTGAATATTTCGCGAAAATTCATTACAAAAGTGGCACCTTTTGAATAAAAAAACACAAAACAGGGAACGTTTACCCCCCCCCCCCGTTAAGGAATGCAGCCTTGACATTATCTCCCCCTTGTCCTGTGGCCGGGTCTTGAAGACCCCGAGAAGACCATCATCGACACGGGCACAGATAAAGGCGCAGCCCTGCAATGACCCGCTCACGAGACCGCTCAACCCAGAGGGAGCTCTGGAGAGAGAGACAGCCTCTCGCAAAGGGGGTTGTATTTGGCCTCCTCTTACACGCTGGCCAAACGTCTTGGAGAAAGCAGGAGCACCCACACTTTACCCCACTCAATTTATAATGATGCGCGGGCGGAGAGGCGGGACGAGGGGGAGCAGCGGGGGGGGGGGGGGTGATTTAACATTGCACGTCCATTTGTTTCAGATATTACGCATACTTCTACATCTGCTCACGAATGGTGAGAGCGATCGATTTCTGGTACGATGCAATGGAATGATGAACACGCGTCTCGGCTAAGGGCGACTAAGCGAGAACTACGGCGTCGGTACCGCGAGGCATCGTCGAGATGGGCTCCTTATCTTTATTTAGACTGCAGCAGGAATCCGATGAGCCGTGAAGCTCTTTTACGCAGACGCCGGGGGGGGGGGGGGGGGGTGGTCTGCATCCCGAGCGTTGCAAACGCGGCGCGCGAGTGAAGGCAGTGCGAGTGACGTTCAGTGCAATTGCTCAGTCAGTTTAAGGCACATTGTTTGAAACAAAATAAGAATACATTCATGTGACAGTACGTTGTCAATCCACTGCTGGACTAAGGCCTCTCCACGCCGTGCCAAGTCGTGCGGCCTACGTGACCATACTTCACCTCGCCGGTAAGTGCCGATTGGTCAAGAGGGCGAAGGACACCAAGAACCGGTTCAGGGATCAACTCGCCACTGATTTTGGCCGTGGCCCGAGATTCGAACTCGGGTGGCCGGGTTCATATTGCAGTGCGCTAACCACTGCCCCCCACTCCGCTCCCTTTTCACAATCATTGAAAAAATAACGTGCTATGAAGAAGGGCCATTTCCCGAAACGTCGCCTATGAGGCCACCGTGCTATTGACGCATGCGTTGAGCTTTATTGAAATCTGGGATTATTTTGCAGCAAAAAAAAAACAAAAACCCAGTTTCGATCATGAATGGAGTGGACCGTGTTTAATGCCCAACAGAGACTGTCCAAGTCTCTCCGTCTCTCGAGACGTCCCACGTGTTCACACGATCACTCGAGACTCATGGCCCAGCGCGTATCAAACTCGAGCGGCCGCGGTTCCGCAGCGGGATGCGCCTCTGCGCGGCTACCAATCATCCGGCGCGTGCAGGGGGCGCGCTGCAACGCAATTCGCAATCGGGAATCGATCAAACTAAGGCGAACGAGAGAAGTATTATTGGCAAAATCGTCAAGGAGCCGAGTCGTGGTAAATGACGTTCTGACAAACACTGCGACTCGGACGCACTGCGTCTTACAGTGGCCCACGGGCAGCAGCAGACAGACAGAGAGACAGAGACAGAGAGACAGAGAGAGAGAGACAGACAGAGACAGACAGAGACAGAGAGACAGACAGAGAGACAGGCAGACAGAGAGACAGAGAGACAAACAGAGAGACAGAGACAGAGAGACAGACAGAGATACAGACAGACAGAGAGACAGGCAGACAGAGAGACAGACAGAGAGACAGACAGAGAGACAGGCAGACAGAAAGAGAGACGACGTCGCGTCGTCGTTGTCTCTTTGACACAAAAACGACACGAAAAGCCCCAAGTGCGGGACTCGCTCACGCCTCGCCACAACGCGACCCCCCAGCCCCCGTCCCACACGTCACGCCGAGCGAGTGCCCAACCTCAGCCCGGAATAAGTCCCGAACCCTGGTACGGAAATAATTTTCGCACCCCGCCACATCCATCCAACGAACCCGCTCTTATAAACCTATTTAATAGGATTATGGCAAATATAGGGTAAAACAGTATGAGGATTTTTTTTATATATATATATCGATGGGTGTATACTGCATTCTAGTGGTAGTGCCTTACGCCGATAAGGCGTAAATTCCGAGCCAGGTTCCTAGCAAGCGTTCCGTAAAATATCGAGCGAGAAAGGGGGAAAAAAAAAAGTAGGGAGCTTCCCCGTTCTGAGTGCTGCCCTTATCTGGAGGCCTTCAAGCTCTCCAGGAAACACTTCACCTCGCGCACCCTGTAGAAGAAAGGACCCTTGCCGCCCAGGTATCTGATCCTGCCGTCCTGGATGACGTACAGGCGCTCGTAGGACACCCCGTAGTCGATGTTGGCGTTATTGTCCATCGCGTCGGCCACCACGGGGCAACGGCCGAGGGGTGGCATGAGGCCGCGCAATTGGGACGCGGCCACGCAGCGGTCCCCCAGGGCGAGGTGCCGGGGCACCTCGAGGCCGCCGGGCGCGGGCCACCCGTCGGACGGGTGGGCCTCCTCGATGTAGACCACCAGGAAGTCGGCCACGTCGGCGAAGTCGCGCACGAGGTCGCAGAATTCGCCGAGTTGCTCCACGAACGGGGGTCAGCTGGCCGAGCCGAAGTTGACCACGAGCGGGCGGTGATCTCTGGCGAAGTCGAGGAGGCGGCACGCGGCGCTGCTTGACGTGGTGGTTGAGCTGGTGGTGGTGCTGGTGGTGACGGTCGCTGCTGCTTCTGCCGGTGTCCGTGGTGTCAGCGTCTCGTGCGCGGAGGAAGAGGCGGCGGCGCAGGAGAACGAAGGGGATGAGGACGAGTGGCCTCCGAGCGCCACCACGCTGGAGTTGGGGGCTTCCCCGCCGAGGCGGACCTTCTTGTGTGCGTCGAGCACGTAGCTGCGCCACACGGAGAGCATCCCCTGCGCCGTGAGCATGCGCGGGTGCTGCGCGTGCCCCTTGGCCGAGTGCGTGAGCGACGCCTGGAGCGTGCGGCGCAGGAACGAGACGGCGTCGTAGAGGGCCAGGAAGAGGCAGTTGGAGAAGACGCCCGGCAGGATGAGCAGCACGACGAGGAGGTTGACGTGCGGCATCGTGGACGACGATGGCGAAGCGGTGGAGGAGGTCGATGAGGTTGGTGGTGGTGGTGGTTGAGGGGTGGTGGTGGAGGAGGAGGAGGCTGGGGACCCCCCTCTTAAGGAGACGCGTGGACGGAGGTTCCCATCAGGAGCGCGCTCGCCCCTTGCGGTGATGGGTTCTCGCCTTTTAAATGTGGAGGTGATGAACGGCGATGATGATGATGGTGGTGGGGGGGGGGGAGGAGCAGGAGCCACGCTACGGGTGAGAGTAGCCGACCCCTCTCTCTGCGCTCGGACCTTGAGTTCTCATTGGCCCGGCGAGCGGCTCACGCACTCCGCACGCGGCGAGTTCGCGTGCCCAGTTTATACCGCGTCTGCCGCGAACGCCAGAGATCGGGAGGGGAGGGTGGAGGTATGGAGATAGGGGAGGGGGCGAGAAACAGAGGGAAATGTACAGGAGAGCGAGAGAGAGGGTGGGGGGTAGAGGAAAGACAGGAGAGAGATAGGAGAGGTAGGAGAGAGATAAGAGATAAAGTAGAGAGGGGGGGGGAGACGGCAGAGAGATAAGAGGGGGAGCAGAGAGTGCAGAGGGAGGGAGGGAGGTGGGGTAGACAGGAGAGTGATAGGAGAGGTAGGGGAGAGTAGATATAGGGGAGAGAGAGAGAGAGGGGCAGAAGGGGGTGGGTGGAGTGCGTGGGTCTGCGTCGGGCGGGGTGGCGGGCGAGAGGGACGTGGGGGGCGGGGGGTCTGGTGCTTGTACTTGATCTTGGAAGAGGGTCGTAGAACCGTCGAGATTACACAACGCCGGTAACAGTTGCGTAACGACTCGCTCGGCCTGCAGTCGGTGCGCGGTAGAGGAAAACACACGAGACACAGATAACGCGCGTTCGGCGAAGGTCTGGGGAGGGGTGGGGGTGGGTGTTGGGGAGGGAGGGTCCATACGTCCAGGTTTGCACCGAATCCGTGCAAAGCCAGCCAAGCAAGGGGTGTGCGTGCGTGAGGGTTTGTGCCTGCGTGTGGGTTCTGCTCACAAACAGCACTCGCCCCAACAGTATGTTAAGGCTACACGGGGGATCTTTGTCTGTGTGTGTGTGTGCGCGCGTGGCAGTGCCTGCATCTCTGCTTTATTGAACTGGTCAAGGCCTGTCATAGCACCAATAGGTGAGGGCGCTGGGTTATTATTGGTGCTTTCGGGGTCTCTGACCCACTGCTCACAATCATTAAGGAACTTCATGGTGGTAGGGAAAGCCCGGGTAAAGCTGCCTGGCCGAGAGCCATTCCCTGTGCGTGACAGGGATGTTCCTCTGGCCCCAACAGGGATGTCCTCTGGCCAAAAAAATCTTTAACATCTTATTTGACCACGTAGTTCGAGACCCTTCCCACCGATGCGCCGGAGGAATTTCCGTCTGGTACAGACACGAAGGGGAGGCTGATCTGGTAATTGCTGCCCATTCTGATGAGTTGGAGACTCTATTGCTGAACCAGGAGCGTGCTACTAAGAGATGAGGCATTACCATGACCCCCCCCCTCAACCCACCCCAGCACCAAAAGCACCTGCCAGGGTATTTTTTATCCCATCAAATAATCCACCCTCTCCACTGCCCATGAGTGATGGGGGGGGGGGGGCAATTGTGAAGAGAGTGGAAGAGAGTGGAGAGCTTTCCACACCCGGGCAGTGTCCTTATGACCAAACTCCGTTTTTTTTGGCATCTGTGGTGTTGCTTTAAGTCGGGCGACCCGCCGGGGGCGGACAACCTCGACCTCCTGCATACCAGGCGAGGTAGCTAGCACCTCGCCAAACGTTGCCAAGTGGGACCCTCCAGAGAGGGAGTTTCTCCCCTCTCTTCTGGCACGGAGTCACAACTTGACGGGGGTCACGCATGCAGCTGTTGGTCAAGGCTATCGCGGGCAATTCGCAGTGTTTACGGTGCCAGATGGCAACAGCTCGAAACGAACGGTCATATTAGTACACATCATTTGTTGCCATCACAGAGACCCCCCCTCACCCCCACCGGTGACACGAAGAGACCCAGTGACACTAAGCCGTATGCTGAACGAAATGATAGCAATGCAGTTTGGAATTTGATTGCAGTACGGCACTTAACAGTAAATAGTTTGTGAAAGTTGGCGAGCTGCCGCGCAGTATTATCATGGAGGGTTTTGTTTAATGTTTCTCTCTTCCACCGTTTACAACTGAAAACAAATATCATTGCTCAACAGTGACCACAATCCATAGGGGGGGGGGAGTGGGGGGTGGACTTGGAATTGCGACCGTTTCACGACTCGTGCAAAGAGGGCCTCCTCACAAGGCGGTCATCCCACTCCAACCTCGCCCGTTCGAAGTCGTAAGCGAGTGTCCACGACACCGACCGAGACGCTATCGGCGGGCCATACGCATGGGCTTCTTTACGGCGCTCAAAGTCTCTATTTTAAACATTTTACGGCGTTTCCGAGTGCTCGCAGTAAACCGGGACAAACACAAGCACTGGCAAACTCGCGAACTCTCAACCACTGAGTGTGCCCATCGACTAGAGGCTTCCTCAAAGAGCCTCGTTACATCATTGAGCTGCGTAAGACGTCAAGGCGAGCGACAAGTGTTGCTCTCTCGCAGAGACGGTGCAGGAGGGACACGATTCTCGACAAACGCTGTCAATAAATATAAAAAAAATACTCGTTAAAAAAATTGGTCCATTGTTGCAAATGCGTTACCGGAACAACTTTAACGCGTTACGTAATTTGTGTAGGTATTTACCCGTTCATAGCACGGTTGGCTACGTACGGTCCGAAAGAAGTTCAGCATGCATGCGTGTATATAGTAGAGAGGCGCGTACATTCGTGATGGACTGGACTTTTCAGAGCGCGCGATGACGAATGTTCAGTTTTATGGACGTGGTACAGCCGCGGGCACAGTGCACGAGAAACCCGGCGACCTGAGATGAGTTTGATTCCCAACCACGGCGGACAATCCGTTACCATCACCATCCCCCCACTGACCAGCATGGTGAAATATGGCCAAGCTAAACCCTCCCATATTCTCAGGTTTTTTCGGTAAAGTCACGTAGGTAAAAATGTTTAATTAATAAAAGTAAAATAAATAAAAAATCACGACGTTTCGGAGGCAACACAAGCTTCCGTCTTCAGATGGAACCGTCACAGCACGATAGCTGTATCACTTGATACATCACTTGATACGGCTATCGTGCTGTGACGGTTCCACCTGAAGACGGAAGCTTGTGTTGCCTCCGAAACGTCGTGCTTTTTTATTTTATTTTTATTTTACTTTTATTAATTTTAATTTTTTTACCTACGTGACTTTACCGAAAAAACCTGAGAATATGAATCCTTGCAGTCACGAAAGCTTCAAATCTAGAACTAAACCCTCCCCTCCTCTGCCACTGCTGAAACGGCAAGGGAAGACCTTCAAGTTTACTTTATTGGACGAGGTGAGAACTTGAGGGAGCAGAAGGTGGCGTCGCTTGCAAGACTGACCTCCATCCGTACGGTGCAATTGGAAGTTAAACACACACACACACGTGCATCCAACAGAACGCAATTGTCAAGGAAGAGCTCATTGTGAAGCTGTCCCGTGACCCAGTGACACATTCCTGATGTAACACAAACACACAGGGGTATTGTCATCATGTCAAGTAATACAAATGGATGTGTTTACATCTGGCAACGAAACGCAAAACTGCGCGGGTTGGAATTTGAACGTTGTTTGAACGTTGGTTTGCCAAACCTGGCCAGGGGCGAAACAGTCAACTCGCGCAGTTTCCTTCTTATAACATCGACGATTAATATTCTCGTTTTTTTTTTTAAAGATGAGCATCGGCCACGTGTGACCACAATGGACAGTCACAATCCGGCCGGCGATTTAAACGCAGCAATGGGGTGGTGGGTGAATCACGCGGCGGCGCAGCCGTAAGACAGAATCTGCAGAGCAGTTGCAGTCAGTGGGTTTGGTGGAGCGATCCGCGCGGTGTCCCTGTGTGTTCTACGGCCCCACCGTGCAGCAGCCGTGCGTAGCGTCTGTTGGTTGGCGGCTTGCGAAGATCGGCGTTGTCGTCGCAATGTGCGCGAATCGCACTTGATGCACGTTCACTGGATACCTTGGTTGTGCTGCACTCATTTCGTTGCAAACACGTGGCTTTCCTTCCATCATTGTTGGTTTATGTGAGATTGTACTGTCCTCACCACGAGCGTACTGAACTTGTCCCAGAGAAGCCACCGGGTCACGGGGCAGCAGTAGGCTCCGATGCTTGTACCGTACCGATCCCTTACGAAAATGACTGCAAAGAATCCCAGTGCAATCCCCTCGTGTTAGAGGGCGGCACACTGAAGTGGAATGCTAGAGCTCAACGAAAGTCTTTTTTCGATGCAAAGCTTTCGTGACTGCAGGGATTCATCTTCTTGGCTCTTTCGGTAAAGTCACGTATAAGGGAAATAATAAAACATAATAAAATACATTCGGACGCTGTCTTTCCGACAGCCCTGTTCTTCACCTGAGGACGGCTGCTTGCGTTGTGGCCGAAACGTCGTGAGAATTTTATTTAATTGTTTTATTTTTATTATTTCCCTTCTACGTGACTTTACCGAAAGAACCAAGAAGATTAAACTATTTTTTGTTTTACCAGGTAAGGCCCACTGAGCTATATAGCTATTTTTTCAGAAGCGATCTGGCTATCACAGATCATAGCTCAACGAAGTGGTTTTTCACAACGTGGAAACTTAAGGCAGCCAAATATTCAAAACGCGTGTTTCTAAATGTGGAGGGAAAAACCGAAGGACCCGGAGAAAAATCCACGCGACCACGGGGAGAGACACGCAAACTACAAATATACAGCAGCAGGCGTCAGGGGTCGGGATCGAACCCACGACCTCCTACATACCCGGCGAGGCCACCGCTGAGATCCCTTCAGGAGACCTCAGCACTTTCCCACCCATCCACCCGGCCACGCCGAGAGTAACGTTTGCCGAGCGACACTCGACCCGATGTTTGTTTTGTGTTATTTCGAAGAGCTGACATTGAAGCCACACGAAGTGCAGAGCCAAACTGAATGCGATTGGGCTGAGATCATCGGCTCTCTCTCTCTCTGTCTGCACCCAAGAGAACATAGTTTAATCGCAGGTTTGCTTGAAAAACACTGGATTCGAACGCACGATCTCAGTGAATGTCACCAGCTCAGCGCGCTGACCACTGGACCATCTGTCCAGCTGTGAAGGACAGACGTGGGGGGGGGGGGGGGGTGAGGCAGAGAACTACATTTGAGTAAAAAAATGCTGGAATGCATTTTTTTTTAGCTATCACAGGGTTCACACTGCCCGGCCACAAACTCGTACGGACCAAAAGGGCAAGTGGATGTCAAAGTTTTAAAGTTACAACATTTCACATGTTGCGTCCTTATTTATTTTAGATGTCGAGTTATTTTTTTTTACTAAAGAGGTAGTCAAAAAGTAACTGACATCTTTGCATATGTATTTATTTTTCAAATGTTTGATTAACGTCAAGTAAAACATTGTTAATATTTGACGTCAAGGTTGAAAAATAACCGAACTGGTGTGGTGCACATTTATAATAGACGGATAGGAGACTGTTTTTTTTTTGACCATTTGACTCGCTGCGCGAGAACTCATTACACGAGTTAAATGAGGAGCAATTACACAAACTAAAATCGGTAAATAAGATACAGAGCACACACACGCCTCTCTCACGTGTTGGTCAGAATTCAAGCCAGTGATTTCCTTCTCAAATCAGCATCGAGGCGATTCTCATCACCTCTTCATAGCCCAGAGTCAGCGGTGGGAAATCCGCACGTTTATAGCAGCGGTTGAGCGCTACATCCAGAGGGCAACCACTATTCACTTCTTCACAAAATGGTACGTATTTTATCGAGGGTGCAGAGATGATGGGCTGCGTCAAATCCCCACCAGGATTTTGAATTCACAACCCTCTGATTGCGAGCTGCGAGCTCTACCGCCGTTCCGATTACAAATCCCAATACACGGGACGTGCCTGCGGGTCCTCAGCAGGGCTACATTTCTCATTGCGATATAAGAATACTGGACGTGGTGTGCCGGATCTGGAGATATTTTCCAGGTCGCAGACCTGCATGAAACCAAGCAAGCTCTGGGTCACAAGTTCCTGAGGACGCCGCAATCTTCCTTTGGTGGAGGAGCAGGGCCTCTCAACTCGTACAAGCGTGCGTTCACAACCCGACCAAGGTGAACGCTGCATCGGATGTCACCCCTCCGGGAATATGGTCACAAAAAAGCTTCGTTGCGAGCACCAATTGTTGGGAGCTCATGCTTGCAATGGACATCTTCTGACCATAGGAATGTGAAACTTTCACAGCTGGCTCACAACCGCGAAGGGACGAAAACCCCTGAACACTTTTGAGAACGGGAAGGCAATTCTACGTCATCTGCCAATGCAGATTGTAATCGACAAGTCACGATGAGAGCTCATTGCCACCAATATAACCGACTGCGCTTATCCTACATTCATCAGCATTGATCAACCCACTTCTGGATGAAGGCCTCCCCCCACACCCTGTTGATCACGGAGGCTGCTTGAGCATACTTCACACTGCCGAGTGTGGGCGAGCGAAGGAAAGTGGCGCCCACTACTGGGTTCAGGAATGACTCTTCGTCGATGTTGACCGTACCCAGGAATTCGAGCGCAGGTTGCTGGCATCACAGTGCACTGACCACTGCGGCAATGCCCCCCACTCCCGCCCTCCCCCTCCACGTATCCTGTCATCAGTAGATAAGACGGGGACTTCTAGTAAAGCCTAAAGCCACCGTATTTTAATGTCCTAAAAAGAACGCCCTTTGTACCTGTGTATGTGTGTGTCCACCACCCCCGCCCTCAAAACAAAAAAATGTGCCCATTTTGTGGGTACAGACAACGAATGTGCTGGGTCATCAACATCAAGAGCACGGTGTCAAAACAGCCACGAAGCATCCATTATTTGTACATGTCTTAAATGCCATCGTCACGAGTAGCTATCTATCCACTGCTAGATGGAAGGCCTACACGCACGTGCGTGCGCGCCGTTGCCATCCCTCACGGTTCTGCAACGCCACAACGCATCTCTCGCTCGTACGCGTGAAGCTCCCTCGCCGCCACGGTAGGTAGCCCCTCTCTGTGCTGTTCCCCTTGTTCCGACTGCCATTCTGTCACCACTGCCACCACCACACACGCGAACGCGCGCGCGTCCCATCGGCGCACTGCAAAGTTCGCTTCGACTCGTCAAAGTGTAAACGTGTAAACTTGAATAGCGCATATCCCAAGGTACTCGTGAAATTTCGATTTAAAGCTTTCGTGACTGCTTTAAAGCTTTCGTGGTTAGCAATTCTTGTTTTCTATTCTTTCAAAGCAGGTGACCACAACCGAGCCAATTGAGCAATTTCCCCCAGCGCATGGACTTAGTAAAACACACTTCCCACTGGCATACCGATGGCTCCTTTCTAACGGACAATCAACTTTAGTCGAACCAATTGTTGCCCAAGTTGCAGGGGCACTGCTGCCACAGTGGGTACCGTTGGGTGACCGGATACCCGCCCCCCCTCCCCCGTCATGTTTAGATACGGCGAGGAGACACCCACAACATTTTTACGCCCTGGTCAGCACATACAGTAGGCACCCACATGAAGACCCCCCGTATAGCCTGCACAGACTGTTGGGGCAAGTGCTGCTAGCGAGCACCTATGAAGGACGGAACGGCACACGTGGTGGTGGGTGGGTGTCCAGCACCAAGCCCGGCTGCCTTTGTTTCCCTAGTGGCAATGTTAACACACCGCACCAGGTACTCAATTGAGGCTGAGTCGACCTAGGGGAGGAGGCCCAGAACAGGTTCAGATAATCGTCATTGGTGTTGGCCGTGAGCGGGAATCGAACTTGAGTTACAAGGTTCATTGCGCAGCACGCTAACTGCTACACGACCGCTCCCCACCCTCACACACATTCCAACTTTCACGTTAGAAGTATGATTTGCTGACGCTGCGTTGGCAAAGGTGCACAGGGCACAATTAACCCACAAAAAAACCCCTCAACCGCATGCCTCGATAATAATGCTGTGGCCTGAAACGGAAAAATTATATATATCCGAGGCAGTTGGGTAATTGCCCTTCTTCATAGCAGGGCGGAAATAATTCGGGGACTGCACTTTAGACTTAAATCTATAAAAAAAAAATTGTGATGAACAGTTTTTTAATTGGCATATGAAGTTACTTAATAGAATAACACAACCTTCAAGAATAAAAAAAACTTTTTCTAAACTCATTGCGGGCGAGTGCGCGGTGGTGAGGTCACCACACCGCACAGCGTTGAGCCGGTTTCGTACGTGCCGAGTCACATCTCTCCCCCCCCCCCCGCAACCACCCAGACACTCCACCCGAGCCGTGATTCCCACGAAAATTCTCGGGCAGTGCAAATTTGTATTAAAAGTACAACTATAAAATGTTCGTGGCACACGGCACCGTGGAAATGGTGCGATAACAACTTCCAAGGTGTGGCTTCGACCATGCCACGTTGCGCCGTTCTTTCCAACATCCCCAGTTGAAGGACAACGCGAGTAGATGAGACCGTCCCGTGTCCATGATTTGCATTTGTTACCAAGCCAGTGGTGCAAGAATTTTTAAAATAAACTTGGAAGGAACTTGCCCCGAAAAAAGTGCGAGTCAAATTCTGATCGTTAAAACAAACGTTTGGTAAAATGTACCCACCACCTACTAAATGTTTGACTCGCGTGTCTTGTTGGACATTACTGCTGAGTCCACGAAGCCAAATCTGGCCTGGCACATTTTGAGATGGATTCACGGCCAACTTGACGACAGAAAAAAAAATACTGAAACATGCTGCCAGGGTGGCAACACGCACGGTGCGCGACTCCACCCAAGACACACCACGGGGTCTAACCCAACCACGACCCACACCACGGGGTCCAACCCAACCACGGCCCACAAACTTAAACTGCTGACAAAACATTCCGTCCTCCACAAACTCTCTCATCCCATTCTCGTTATCTGGTTACACCCCACACTTGAAATTGGTAATAAAAATATTTGCAGGCCTGTAAATCATCAATCAAAATGTTATTTACAATGTATTTCAAGGTAGATTGTATAAACATGCATACACGTCGCTAATTATTGTGTTGTAATGTCAAGAACGCGTTTCGCTGAGAATGTTGTTGCTGCGATAAAGCGTTTGCAGTGTGGCACAAGCACAAATAACTAAAAAACCCAACATCCGTCGACAGAACACTGCCCCCCCATCATATATTTTCCTTCTGGGGCAGTGTTGTTGATGCATGTGTAGAGTAGCTGAGAAAACAGTGACACAATTTTGACAAAAGAAGCATTTGATGCATGCAGCCGATACACTTACCGGGTATGTTTGTACAGTTACACAGGCCAACATTGTGAACAGAATTTACAATTCACGGTTTTATTGAGTAAGGGGCGATATGAACACACGAGGGCTTGTGAAAACAGACTGGGTTATTACTGACCAACCCATATAAAACACACACACACACACAGACGCAACGCCTACAAATCCAAAGAACTTTGAAACAAGTCATCAGGAAATAAAATACGCATCCGATAAAGAACAACGGTGGGTAACTTATGGACAATGGTTTATCAATACAAGTGTAAAGGTACGCATTTAAATGCAGTCGGAAATAGCACGACAATGCCGTCCGTGGCTTTTGCCGTCGCAAACGCCGCTGAAGCAGTGGCGTGGCTGCCGAGTACGAAGGCCGCGCCACTGCGCCAGGGCCAGTGGCCCAGCCGCCAGGCTACGAAGGAGGAAGGGAATTGGACAAGGGGGCAACCCCCTCATTTTATTTCTGGCACGAGGGCCCACTCCAAGCGTTTTAAGGCATCACGATTCGTTCGCCTGGATACAGCGACGAGCCTTGGGCGACTGTCGCCCGGCCGGCGCCGCAGCGTGAACACGCGCACCACCACGTTCCGAGCGTACAAAACGCCGACAAATATTGGGACCGCCGCATGTAATAAAAACCCCAGACATTTTTTTTTTCTCACCGATCGTTTTCATAAGCCGCTAGTCGAGTCTTAACGAAACCAAAACAACGGCGCCGGACGGCGGCGACCCCTTCGACGCGCCGCGCCCTCCATGCGGCACCGCGGCATCTCGGCACACGAACTACCGCAGGAGGAAGAGGTCCCCCCCCCTCGTGTCCCTGCTCTCTCTCTCTCGCTCTCTCACGTCTCACGCTTCATCTCCCCCCGGATCGCCGCGCCCGGATCGCCGCTACTCCTTCCTGCGCTTCTTGCCGTCGTCGTGGTCGCGGGAGCGCCCCTCGGCGGCGCGCTTCCCCCCGCCGCCGTGCTGCTTCGCCTCCTCCAAGAACTTGTCGAGGCCGAAGGGATCCTCCTCTTCGCGCTCAAACTGCACGGGGCCGTCGCGCCTCGACCGCCCCTCGGCACCCTCAAACTTCTTGTCGGGCACGAAGCGATCCCTGCGAACGTGAGACGCGCAACGCTGTCAGGCAAGCGAGCCGTCGACTCCAATAGCACAATCATCGCCAAAGGACACCAGTGACAGGTCCACCATCGTTGTCGTCATCGCCACCATTGAACTGAATTGCAAAGTGAAACGGCCATGACAACTGGAAAGGATGTCAACTGTTGACAGGGAGCTGTCCAGTTGAATAGTTTTCAAAGTGGTGGTTGGGTGGATCAATGAGGGACTACGAATAGCCAGATTGGAGCAAGCACAGAGCCAGAACTGCTGCTAAATTAATTGACTTGACAACCCATACCATGCCATGCAGCACCCTCCTGCTGAATAAGAGACTCCGTGAGGCTTTCACACATAAAAGGCCATATTGCTACGATTGGATTGGTGGGACAGTGAATTAGTAGACTGAGTTACAAAACAGTGACCTGAATCCAATTCCGGCTGCCATCAGTGACGACCGAAATCCTGCCCCCCCCCCCCGCCCATCTTCCCGAACCAGCATCAAGATGCCCAAATGGCCTGATGGGATGTCTTCATCCAGCAGTGGCATAATGGCTGATAACGATGACGACCAATGGAGACTAGGCTCTAAGAGAAGCTGTCTCGGGTGTGGACCAATCAACTTCAAGGGCAGTGCATATCATTATCAGAGTTGTTTATTTTTTGTTTGCATTTTGACTGCTTGTGTTGTGGTTATTGCAAACAATGATGCCTTGTAAAAAGGTGTCAGTTTTTGTACCAGTTGAAAGGGTAAAAACCTATCACTAGACTATGATGACATTATTACTCCACCATTGGAACCTCATTTGCCAGTAAAAATATAATTGGTTTTTTACCTATCTATCTGGCAACAAAACTGACACCTTTTGGCGTCATCTGGTCCAACCCATGTGAGACTAGGCTCTAAGGAAAGCTGTCTCGGGTGTGGACCAATCAACTTCAAGGACAGTGCACATTATCAAAGTTATGTTTTTTGTTTGCATTATGACTGCAGGTATTGTGGTCTATGTAAACATGACTCCTTGTAAAAAGTTGTCAGTTTTGTTGCCAGATAGAAGGGTAAAAAACCAAATGACATTATTATTATCAACTGACATTCAGACCACACAGCGAGGGACATCGGCCACGCGCCTTACCTGCCACTCTTCACCAGCGATTCCACGTCGTCCACGTACTGCTCCTTCTCCTTGGTGGGCCGGTAGATGCTGTTGCCCACCTCCTTGTGGCTCATCCAGGGCTGGTCAAACACATTGTAGGTCTCGTCCTCTCCGCCCGCAAAGCCACTGTCCAAACCCTGTGGAGAAGGGGCGGGGGGGGAGGGAGGATGATGCTGGGCTCACGGCGGGCTGTGTGACCGCGTGTGTGTGTGTAGATCCTGCCGTCAGTTACAGCTATATCTCACCCGGGACCGGGCACGTAACAAGTCATTGGTAGACAGATTCTTATGCTCACGATACTTGCGTTGCATCATCTATGTCTCAATCGCTTTGTAAAAGCGATCAATTTAATCTGCGATCGGGATGACGGTTCCGTGTACGAAACGATCATCTTAATTTGTAATCGGGGGGGGGGCGGGGGGGGGGGGCTGCCATTGGAGGGTCGTGGTAGCTTCAGAACCAGAATCTTCACTTATACTGGAGGAATCCGATGAGATATAAAGCTCCTTTTTCACAAATGCCCAGTACCTTGCTCTGGTTGAAGAGGCGCTGGTCATACTGAGCCTCGTTGTTGGCCCCACGCGGGTTCGGCACGTTCAGCGCGATCATCTCGCTGATGTCGCGGTCCTGGTCGCGCTGCAGCCGTGACCTATGCGAGCAAAGTGAGGGGGGGGGGGGGTGGCAACGGTGACGCGTGTGCCGTGTACGACTGTGCACAAGAACACGCTCGCGCGGTATGGTACACGCTCACGCAAGGGTACACGCGTGGGCGCACGATACAAGTACGCGCTCTGGTGCGGTACGCACGCAAACACACACACGCAAGAGGTACGCGTTCACTCACGTGGAGGAACACTTCCTGTCTGCGCGAACACACGCTTACACACGCACGTTCATGAATAGGCGGGACGTGCTCGAGCACGGAACACGCTAACCTGCGGTACACGCTAACCTGCGGTACACGCCAACCTGCGGTACACAACGTCATTGCGTGCGGTCCGACGCTGGCACCCAGCGGTGCACTGTTTACACGTGAGACCCGAGCCCGGTGGTGTTTCATGTTAAAATTGGTGTAAGAACCGACCTCCTCTCGGGCCCAGCCCTGGCGATGTTCCTGTCGTGCTGCCTCTCTTTCCGGCGGTCGATGCGGATCTCATCGCGTTCCACTACGTCCGGGGCGTTCTCCTCTGCAGGGTGGAGCAGTAAAAAAAAAACCACAAGGCCGTGAGCTTCACCGCAGGACGAACCCCACCACCACCGCCACCCTTGCGAAATTGTACAACAACCGTCCCCTGTACTGACGCGAGGTTTTGCAATACCACAGGCTCATTAAAGATGCAGTCCCAGATACAAAAGAGATCTTGTTTCAGGCACAAAAAGATAAAAATCCCCCATATAGCCTTCACAGACTTTTGGAGCAAGTGCTGTTAGCAAGCAAATATGAAGGGCGGCACGGCAAACGAGGGGGTGGGTAGCCAGCACCATGCCCGGCCGCCTTTGTCTCCCCAGTAGTGATGTTTACACACCGCACCAGGTACTCATTTGAAGCTGAGTCGACCCTGGAGAGGACCAAGACTGGTTCCAACATTCGCTGCTGTTATTGGTCATGAGTGGGAAATGAACTAGAGTCAGCGGATTTGTAGCGCAGCACGCTAACCAGTAAGCCACCGTTGCCCTTGTTCACATACACATATACACACACGCCCACGCTGTGCCATGGACTCTGTGACATGAGCCCGAAGCTACGTCGATGAGAGGGGAAACTTAAAAATCATAATCAGGCACTCCTTCATAACACACTACAGTGACAACACTGCACGGGCATATAATAAAAACGTGCACGCGAGAAACACCACGTTGTCACGAGAGTTCATTAAGATGTACCTAAGCCATATTATTAAAAGTGAAGCTTTTAGTACCAGACAGCCCGGTGTCAACGAATATTGGTTCCGCCCGCCCCACCCCGAATAAATGTATCCCCCGTGGTGTCCGGCACCGTTGTCGACACCGAGCGGTGACGGGTGAAAGGCGTTGGGGGCCGACCTTTCTCGACGTGCCCCTTGATGCCGGCGCGCTTGTCTCGAGCGAGCTGCGCCAGCTCGCGCAGCTTCTCCTCCTTCTTCTCCTTTTCCTTCTGCGCCATCTTGCGCTCCACCTGCGCTCGCATCTCCACAGCCTCGCGCGCCTGCGACACGGGGACGGCACGGCGACGACGACGACATCGACGATGAAGACACACGGCAAGTGACGTCGTAGAAGATTCATTATGAACATTTTTGGGTTAGGCTACACGTAATGATGTGTGGCCAGGTTATCGGTAGAAGACATCTCCACAACCCAAACAAATAAAACGGTCAAGCGTAGAAGTGTCGAATGCACCCAACTGCTGTTATTTGAACTCGCCAGGGAGTTTGGGAGAACGATTCTCACAACCATATTTAGCATTTAAGTGTGCTCGTTGCTAAATTGGCGCAACATGAACACAAACACAATGCAGCTCAAAGATAATTAAATTACAGAATACAACGTGAACGCAGTGCAGCATAAGAACAGGAAGACAGGAAAACAACACAGTATAGAACAGTACAACACACACAAATGCCGTGTAGCACAAGGGCAAGAGATTTAATTCACAGAATTGGATAAAACCCAAGCACGGTGCAGTGCAAGGACTAGAAAAACACAACAAGCACAAGAGAAGACAACACAACATACAACATGGTGCAACAAAAACACACACATGCAGTGCTGCACAAGAAGAATTTACATAACAAGATAAGACAGCGCTTCAATTCAAACAAATGCAAATCACTTCTCTAGGGGGAAGCCTAGGGATTGTTATGTGGGAGGAAACTGGAGTCGCCAGATAAAATGTACATAAGCTCAGGAATAACACTCAAGAGATGGGTAACGAACCAATATGCTGTACTGCCATCTCCTGGCAAGTCTGGGAGCTTCACAAATCGATGTCATCGATAAACCTTGGCCTCCACAGCGCTGGCTTAAGGGTGTAAATATAGCACCACACTCAAACTACAGAAATTGTGTGACTGCCCTATTTGCAATAATTCATCCCATTGTTTTGGTTATTTGATCTTACAATGTGCCTTTTGCTCAGCCTTACTGCCACAAAGTCACAGGAAATTATTACTGGGTTTTTTAAGTAGTAGGGTGCCAAAATGTTCTATTCCCTGCCAGGGGTAAACATCGGTGATGAGCGATATCTAAACCAGTCCTAGGCGCTCCACCCTTCCCAAATTCACACTTAACCAGCGTGGTGAAGTATGGTCAAACAACCCTCGCGACTGACACAGCATCGAAAGGGCTTCATCCAGCAGTGAATTGACAATTTTCCATAAATCTTGCTTTGTCTACATAATAACAGTCCGCCAATAAGAATGCGTTAACACGAGGGTTCCAACCTCGGTTGGAGTAACTGGTGGGGGGGGGGCAGTGGGCGCGGGGTCAGAAGGTCGTGGGTTCGATACAGACCCTGATGCCAGTTATATATTTGGAGTTTGCGCGTCTCTCCCCGTGGTCGTGTGGAATTTTCTCCGGGTGCTCCCATTTTTCCCTCCACACTTATTTAAGAGTACTAATTTCCACGTGCCAAGCCATTTCGTTGAGTATGACTTACGGCCAGGTCGCTTCTGAAAAAGATCTATACAGCTCAGTGGGCCATCGTTGATGAAAATAAAAATGTAGTTTTAGTTGACTAGTAACGGCGCGCGGCACCTTGCGATCGGCGATGTAGAGCGCCTCAGCCAGCTTGGCGAAGTTCTCGTTGATGTGAACCGTCTGCAGGCCTCGGCCGTCGGCAGCCAGGCGCTTGTCCAGAGGGATCGTGTAGCCCTGCAGAGCGAGACACAAAATCTCGGCGTGAGAAAAAGACACGTAGCACACTGCTCGACTCGCGGGGGAAGACGTGCGGATATTGAGGATAGCGGTTTGCATTCATTAGGATCTTAAACGTGGTAGCATCTCTTAAAAGTGCCGAACAGAAACATCACACCGTAAAAATACACACACGCATGCATCATTAGGGGAAGAGATTGGAACGGAGGGAAAAAAAATGTGTGAAAGAACGGCAAATGAGGGACATCACGGACACACGGACAAATTATCTAAACACACAATCAGGGGCATGACAGAAAAATGACAGCAGAGATGCCAGTTCAGCGCAAGCACCCCACGCAATCACCACCACACATCACCACCAACTCACACCACACCCAATCACCACCACACATCACCACCAACTCACACCACACCCAATCAACACCACACATCACCACCAACTCACACCACACCCAATCAACACCACACATCACCACCAACTCACACCACACCCAATCAACACCACACATCACCACCAACTCACACCACACCCAATCAACACCACACATCACCACCAACTCACACCACACCCAATCAACACCACACATCACCACCAACTCACACCACACCCAATCAACACCACACATCACCACCAACTCACACCACACCCAATCAACACCACACATCACCACCAACCATTAACCTACACCACCATCAAGCAGCAGTGGTAAAGCCCTGGGAAAAGGATTCTCACCTTTGCATTCTTCCAGTTGGAGATGCAAGGAGGGATCTTCCACTCCTGTTGCTCCTTGACAGTCATCTGTAGATGGCAAACATCAACGTGGATATGCGATCATGTTGCAAACAGCTCTGAATCCTGATTGTATTGACTTACACAAGAGACCCATAGATTGCAAAGAGGTTAATATACTCAGATGCACATACCCCCCATGAGGACCCCAGGACTTTCAATAGAATCCAAAGACTCACAAGAAACGTACAATCGGCTGCCTCTATAAAATACACCCACTGTTTCTAACACACAGTATCTTGAGATGCGGTCACATTTCGATACTATACAAATTTGATTGTACTATTCACCTTCCCACGAGTAACACGGAGTAGGAAACTACCGTCTTCCTACCGGAAAACAAAGCGTTCGCTCTCATAACAGTGGCCAATGGTTATGTAATAAAGGTCGTTGAAGCGACTTCTGGAATCCGGTCTTAATTCGTCTTTCATTACAACACTCCTTCACGCTGCTGACAGGCAGCGTGAGAGGGATAGAGAGAGACGCGCGCAGCCACGTGGCAGCCTGGACCCCACTCCAGCGTGGCCTCTACCCTTCGTTCGTTCCAGTTCTGACCACGTGTTGTTCGTCTCCACCCCTATTTAATACCCGGGTCACGTGGTACGTTTCCACCAATCCTGGTTAGCCTCTATGGAATCTTCCAGACTCCACCGTAGGCTCCCAGGACCGCGCCCCTGACTCGTCTCCCCATTGGCTGTGGCTAAAACCAGCAGAACCATTCCTCTACCTACAGCTGTCACCTTTCCATTACGTCAGGGCCACGCCCATAGACTTCCTCCCATTGGCTATGGACCAGGACCGGCAGAGCCAATCATCGTGACGAGTTGTAATCCGTCAACGACCCGGATATATCCTCACATTACAGTTACGAGAAGTCTGCCAGTGCCTGCGACGCGCTACCTTTCGGCTGGGCGAGTGCATGACGGGAGCCGGCGGGGACGGAGGGCCACGTGGGATCTTCTTGTTGATCCTGAGAAAACGCAAACACGGCCCCGGTTACAGCGGCACCCCAGGGTTCGACGCAGATCACGCTCACAACGCGCGACACTGCACGTGAAATAGGCCCATGGTTGTGTACACCACCTGCCATCATATACATACATACGTATGTGGAACTTGTCGTATTGTACATAGCCAACCATGCTAATTGGAGGTGCGGGGGAAGAAAAACTAAATGCACATATGGATTTTTTTACTATTTTAAACTATTTTTTATTTTACCAGGTAAGGCCCACTGAGCTATATAGCTCTTTTTCAGAAGCGACCTGGCCACAAATGATAGCTCAACGAAGTGGCTTATCACGTGGAAATGTATATCAGCCAAATACTCTTAAACGCACGTTTCTAAATGTGGAGGAAAAAAACCTAAGACCCGTAGAAAAATCCACGTGACCGCAGGGAGAAACATGCAAACTGTCCAAACACTCTCCAGCAGGTATCAGGGTTGGGATCAAAACCCACGACCTCCTGTATACCAGGCAAGGTATTTAACATTTCGCCAGTGTACATATGCATATTTTCAGCCCTTTTGTCAATCCGCCTCTTGATAAGGGCCTGTCCCACACCTGCGTGGGTCATGTGGGGGTGTTGAGCGTACTTTACGTACACACGACACAAGGGAATATTTTAAAATAGCATAACCAAGTAACTGTTTAACTACCTCCTTCGAGTGTCTAGTAGGGACCAACTCTGATAAAGTTTAGGAGTTGGAGCAATAAGGAATGTGAATCAATGTGTGCGTACTGAGTCTGTGTGTGCAATGTTTTACCTTTAGGTAATGTATCTGCGCACAAGCAGTTTATAGGTGGTGGACAATTGATTCATGCCCGAGAGTGTGCGATGCCAGAAAGTCTGGGTAAGAGTTAGCACCAGTGGTATCTGGTAAATTAACCTAAATAGAACTCTGTAAGCACTCCCCACTAAGTACCCAGTCCAGTGTGTCATGATACTGGATACGTAACTCCATTTGCCTTAAAACAAGCGCCTGCAAAGGTTATCCAAGAGTTTTTTGTCTTTGTGAAGACAGCAGCAAACATGAATGTGTGCATACGACGATTGGCTATATGAAATAATGGACTAATTTATAAATGCATTGCTTTGATTTACCAATTCATATAAAAAAAACTACCATGCAATTTGCAATTTCGTTAACACAAACACGGACGCCTGGCATAGGACATCTGAAAATGACTGCCAGGTAAGCGGTTACTGAACGTTCTTGCTTCAAGTAAACGCTTTCACAGTTTGTCGTCGGCACGAGCGTGCAAGTGCTGCAGCGCCGCTTTACTTGAATCTTGCAGGCTCCATGGGGTCCTTCTGCATCTCCACCATGCGGATGACGCGCTGCTTGGCGCCCGAGTTGTAAGCGACCCCCTGCTGGGCCGGTGTATATCTGCATGGGAAACAAAATAGATACGAGCGTCAACAGTAGGTAACATTGCAAGGGCAAAATAAAAACACAGAATGCTGATTAAAAAATATATACTGTACCCCTGTATTCCGCTATTTTAAGTTGCATTTTTATGTAACGCCGACCGAATTAGAAAAATAAACCTCTAGTCTCATTGGGCTCTTAATCACAGTTCTTTTGTCAATCCACTGAGGGATGCAGGTTTTCTCAAACCAATTGAGTTATGGAGGTTGTTTCACCATGCTTCACCATACTGGTCATTGCAGGTTGCTGAAGGGGGGAAGGACCCAGCACCAGTTCAGGCATCACTCGCCACTGACGTTATAGCCATGGCCGGGATTCAAACGTAGGTCGCCAGAATCATAGCACAGTGCACGAAGCATTGCCCCACCGCTCCACCAAAATTGCTCTAACCCAATTCAGAAATCAAGGACTTGATTGATTTATGCGAAAAGAATGTCAGTTCATAAGAAACCCAGTCAGTCGTTTATATTAATTAAGACTCGCGGCAGGCAAATTATGGCCCACAGCCTCAAGACCACATGAGGCCTACCACTTTGAAATGGCCCACAAAAGATGGTTTATATGTCATTGCAATCATCTTAGCTGCACTAATTGGGACACTAGAGAGGAATACATTCAAACCAGAAACATTGTTTAAAATGTTTACGTTTTCCGCCACTTCAGTCACTGAAACAAGTAATTCAGATGGGTGCTAAAGCGTGGACCACCCAAATGTAACTGAAAGTGATGTTTCAATTCTCAGTAATGAAGGAAAAGGTTCCCCAACCAGTTAATTAAGAAGACGGACTCGGAGAGGTACCCACCTGATGTACTGCGCCGGTGCCAGCTTGTCGGCGGCTCGCACTGGCATGGCAGCTGCCACCTTCTCTGCCACCTGCTTCTCCAGCGCCGTCCGCGTCTTGTCTGTGAGCTGGGAGGAGCGCAGCGCACGTGCGGGAATTCAGTGTCAGGCAGCGTGCAACTACAACACACAGCCCCGAGGATCGGAAGCAGTAGATAAGCTTTTGTGGTTTAGTTTGTTGTCCTTCCCCACACCTCCAATTAGTACGGTTGGCTACGTATGGCGCAAAAAAAGTTGAACATATATACGTACGAGCTTTGATGCCTCTGGCTTTGCCGATTGCTGGTGAGAATTGTGGCCCCCAAATAGTGACTTGTTGAATGATGGACAAGGAGCCGGTGTGGAATTGTTACGTACCTAATACTTAGACCTCCACATTATAAATATATAGAATTATAATATAATTGCACTTCTACTTTACTACCTTCAATATTATTCATACAAATTATCCTAAAAGCTTCTTCCAATCAGTGATCTAAATGTCCTAAACTGTGAGCAGGCTAAGAATATAATATAAAATCGGTGCGTGGTCTTCTAGCATATGAATCCAGAGTTTTCACCGGGTTCAGTATCCACACATCTCAAGATTAAGAAGTCATCATCATAGTAAATGCTGTCCGATGCCACCACACACTGCCATTGCTGTTTTTCCTTTTTCTAGTTCCTGTAGTTTTAGCAGAGTTGAACAATACCTTCAATGTCTACTCCACTCCACCATCAAGCTTTAGGTTCCTTAAAAAAACATTCTTTACAGTCTCATTACCACCACCATCTGGCATTTGATCTTTCCTTGGGTTGCCTACCTCTGGGTGCCACTCTCCCATGTCTATCCTGGTAACCTGCCCGCCTCCACCTTGCAAATGTGTCCAACCCCTCACAACCTCTGCAAGATTTCTGACTTACACCTACAATTATTTGCTCCCACTTTTTATACCCAACCTTCAAGGGGCTTACTCCATCCTCTTCCATTTTGCATATGTTTACAACTTCAACTCTTCTGAACAACTTCCAATCACTGTCTAGATTTGAAGCTACGTGACTCTACCGAAAAAACCTAAGAGTATGAATCACTGTCTATTTCGTGACATGCCACCATACACATTTTCAGCCGTTTTGTCAATCAGGTGCCTCACAAGGGCCTCCCCCACACCTGCGTGGGTCAATTTGGTGCACTGCACTCACCTCTTTGACCGATTCCTCGTCAGGGCGCTGCAGCTCTGGGTCTTCATCGTTCATCACCTCCTTTGGCAGCAGATCTGTGTACCGGCTGTACACCACCTGCCATGATAACACACACATTCGGATGCGTTGACATTTGCGAGCTTTATTTATAACCAGGTAAGTGTCTGTTGAGACTGCACGCCACTTTTTTGTGAGGGAGACTATGGTAAAAAAAAATTCAACTACAACACAATTCAACTAAATACGGGAATACACAAACCACAAAGGGACAACTAGAAAAGGAGATGACACAACGGGAGTCCAACCTCAAGAAAGGGTGAGAGGTAGGGTTACATAAAAGAGAGATGACAACCAGCTCTGCGTTTAAACGATGAGGTCCTAAGTGGTGACGAAGGGGAGTGAAGAGGAATGTTTAAGTCTAGCTTCAGAGTAACACCTAATTATTATTTATATTTCTCCCCAAATTTTATCTCAGTTCTGCCGTCATCAAGTCGTGAGTCAAATTATCCTATCGGATCTCTCAGCAGAGCAGTACAACCCATTTTGTTCGATAAATGCCAACACAGAAGCGGATATCACAGATCTATCTGAAAACCCATCATGTGTCCTCTGGTCCACACAGGAGGAGGACTATCCCATCAGCTCTGCCACTGAGAGTAATGTTCGCCGCATGAGTCAAACCGATATATTAATTATTCGTGCTAGAATTGATCCAATTAAGTGCAGAACCAAATGTAATGGTACACATTTGTTTCAGCGCCTATCAATGATAACCTCGCCGAGACCATTCACTCATTAGACTTGAGAAGCTGCTTTCATCAAACCCAAGGCCTAAGGAATGGCAACTCTGCTCCTCTGATGTCTGAGCCACCTGGCCACCTCTGAACTATTATTTGTGCATCTCAAATGGTGCCAACGCTTCGCTTCGGCCCCACGCCCACCTTGTCCTTGGAGGCTCCCTGACGTGCAATGGCATCGAACTTGACCTTCCCCTCGGCGTCCACCTGGAGCGCCAGAGCGTTGGAGGCCTTCTTCTTGCGGCCCATGTCAAGTGGGTACTGGGCCACGTGGATCTCGGGGAAGGCACCGCCATCGCAGAAATCCTGTGGGCAGAGCAGACGCGCACATGCACACCCACTCACTCAGTGCAGCCTCACAAAGTGACAGATCCCAGGCAAAGATGCTACGTGGTATGGCACTGTGTTGTATGTTTGAGGACGTAACAATGAATCGAGCCACGATCAAATTAATTGCGAGTTTGGTATCAGTGACTCGGGAATTGGTTGTGTTTTGTCTTGTTTGTACTTTGTACCAGATCTGGGGCTCGATTACAGCAGAATTACTGCCTAAAAATGTGTTACATTGTGCTTGCAATTAATGTGGAATTACACAATGACGTATAGCCTAAAATTATGAAACTCACAACATGCAAATTAATAGCATAATAACACAATCACCAATACCACTGTTCGAATAGGAAACATTTCGTGATGTTTGGGGCAAAGGCCCTTCTTCTACATACACTCGATTTAAAATAATTTATTTATAATCAATGTTTTGTGTTTAGTTTCTTGTCCTTCTCGGTTCTTTCGTTAAAGTCACGTAGAAGGGAAATAATAAAATAATAAAAATAAAACATAATAAAATACAATTCTCACGACGTTTCGGCCACAACGCAAGCAGCCGTCCTCAGGTGAAGAACTGCACCTCCGATTAGCATGGTCGGCTACGTACGATGCGAAAGTTCAACATACATACAATGGCACTTTTATAATAGCGCAATTACCTTAAACGTCGCCCATTGTACACACACACATTCTCTTTAAAGGCAGTAGCATTGAGGGATATGTTACATCTTTATATATATGTGTCGTAAGGGTAATAACATTCCTAGTGGAGAGTAGCTTACATCGTTGGCGCGAGGAATCCAGCCGCTGCGTTTGCCATACTGAGGCGGCTCTCGACGCGAGCCGTGCACGGCGAGCTGACGCGACCGCTGGGCGCGCAGTCGCTCCTCAGCTTCCACCAGGTCCTGGGAGATCTGCGTCGGGGGAGGCAGCAGCCTGAGGGGGGAGACAACGCGCTTTGTGTTTATCCACGAAAGCCTCTCGCTCGAGTCTCAAAATACTTTTTTTTTCCTTCCAGGAGCATCCTGCCAAGCCGAGATGAAGAGGTATACAATGGGGTAACACGTGCAGGCCCTTTGTTAATCGACTGCTGTGTGTAGGGACGTCCTCCCCCCGCTGTTGGATGAAAAGGCAGAGAGCCACGTTTAAGGGAGCGAGGTCGGTAACAATTGAGAGGACCACTTCGCCACTGATGGTCGCCGTGGTTCGGGATGCGACTGTAGCCTAAGCACATAACGCAGGAGAATTACTGCGCAAACACTTCCCAATATTCAAACTATGAACACAAGAAGAGCGTTGGGAAGTGTCCATTATCTTCCGAGCCGAGTTAAAGCTGATAATAATAATAACATACCAACCACAGGCTCACAGCGATATGACGCGCTACCGGCGGTGATACACATGGGAGGTAAACCGCGCTCACGTTCATCGACGCGCGCGAATCGATGGGCGGCGAACGCATTAACGAATGGCAATAACAACACGTCAAGAAGGGTTAAAGATGTGCTCGCCTCTGGCAGCGATGTTAGCGAACGGCGGCTTCGTCTTAATCGCGCGCCGCGTTCTCAAACACACGGGCCGCGGCCTAGTCTGGCCTAGAAGCCTCCTTTGGCCAGACGCGGAGGCCAACCCGACTGCCGACGCGCGTTTTAAGAGCGCCGGCGCGCGCAACCGGGCCCCGTGTCCCGGCGGAATTCGATGTTGTTGCCGTTGAAACCTTTTAAAGAAACGTAAACGGACAAGAATCTTCGACAAGAGGAAGCCCGCCACGGACACGAAACTCACCTCGCCAGCGCCGCCATGGTGAGTCGATGCGTGACGTCACACCGGCTTCCGCCTCCACTTCCGGCCGCGACCGGAAACCACGTGACAGCGATAATAACCCCGACGCGAATTATTAAATTCTACAACTCGATTTTAATACTGCGGCTTGGCGCGAGACGTGGATTCTTGTCTTGGATTAATACACGGCCGACGCGGAGGGTTGGGGGAGGGGGGAATGCGTGACGTCAGCAGGCACACTGCGTGACGTAGGCAGGCACACTGCGTGACGTCAGGCAGGCACACTGCGTGACGTCAGCAGGGACACTGCGTGACGTCAGCAGGCACACTGCGTGACGTCTGCAGGGACACTGCGTGACGTCGGCAGGCACACTGCGTGACGCCGGCAGGCACACTGCGTGACGCCGGCAGGCACACTGCGTGACGTCGGCAGGCACACTGCGTGACGCCGGCAGGCACACTGCGTGACGTCGGCAGGCACACTGCGCGACGTCTGCAGGCACACTGCGCGACGTCGGCAGGCACACTGCGCGACGCCTGCAGGCACACTGCGCGACGTCTGCAGGCACACTGCGCGACGTCGGCAGGCACACTGCGCGACGTCTGCAGGCACACTGCGCGACGTCTGCAGGCACACTGCGCGACGTAGGCAGGCACACTGCGCGACGTCGGCAGGCACACTGCGTAACGTCAGCAGGCACACTGCGCGACGCCGGCAGGCACACTGCGTGACGCCGGCAGGCACACTGCGCGACGTCTGCAGGCACACTGCGCGACGCCGGCAGGCACACTGCGTGACGCTGCCGCATGCGGGTGACATCACAGATGTGACGTCACCGCCCACTTGCCGTGCAAAATATGAAATCTATTATTGTGCCCCCCCCCTTCCCCAAAAATACAAAAGTCTATTTTTATACCTTTTGCATTGTGTACAGTCTGGAAGCTGCCCACATGGCAAATTTCAAGTTTGTTGCATGTCGGGAAGTATGCTAAGGGGCCGTCCATAAATGACGTCACGCACCTAGGGGGGGGGGGTCAGATATTTGTGACGATGTGTGACGGGGGGGGGGGGGGTTTGAGAAATGTGACGTCACATCAACATTTGCAACTTTAAATAAATATAGACAACGCGTTCTACTTTATTAAATAGACCTTTTAATACATGTTTCATCCTGCAACATGAGAGTGCAGCGCCACATTAAATACGCACTACAATGACAATAGTTTAAAGCGATTTGAAGCGTGTTTTATTTTGGGGGGGGGCAGAGCTTTGTGACGTCATATTTGATGGGGGGGGGGGGGGGTCTGACTTTTTGTGACGCTGTGTGACGAGGGGGGGGGGGGGAGTTCAAAAATCGTCCAAAATCGCGTGACGTCATTTATGGACGACCCCTAAACATTTCCAACAGACACACATTCACAAATTTCATTTTATATATATAGACTAGCCTTTTGGTTGTCCAAGGACGGGTGTATTTCAGTAAATCTGAAACCTGCAAGCGAAAAGCAGACCGCGACGTGATATTCATTGCATCAATGCGTGTGCAATTTCTAAGGGCGCGGTGACACAGACCTATTTCATTTTAAGGTTATAATCCCTTGTTCATCACGACGTCCTTTTTACTTAGATGTCTCAACAGCGTGACGGAGACCACGTGATGACGTGAGGGTTCTGCCTTTGTAGTGAGGGTTGTGAGTTGACGCCGAGGAGGGGGGAGGAGGCGCCTCGCCCCCCCATGTGGAGTGACGTCACCCGCTAATTATTATGAATGGAGGGGGGGTGTCCATTTGGAGGACGTCACCTGGTTATGATTATTAATGAGGGGGCTGGTCGACGTGGAGTGACGTCACACGCGGGACACACAGACATTCTTGGCTCATGATAGTAGTAAATAAGACGTTTTTTTATGGGTGAGATCGCGTAAATATGCAATTTGTGTCGTGAAACCCGCCACCACCACCCGACACAGTCAATTAGTAAGGTTTTTGTCACGTAAACTGAACGTGCCAATTCGTTACGAGTAGGTATACCCACGTGACTTTACCGAAAGAACCAAGAATATGAATCCCTGCAGTCACGAAAGCTTTAAATCTAAATCTTAAACCCTGTTTTATTGCCGGAAAGGGAAAATCTATTCTTATTTTTGATACTTTAATTCTCCACAACGACGCTAATTGTTTTTCTCATACATCAATTCAAGAACACAATTTGGCGTCTATACATGTGAAAACACATATAGCTTTTAGCATCCCATCAGTCGCGCAGCATTCTTGTAGTACACTTTCTTGTGTATTTCACTTCAGTGTATATAATCGCCCCTTAAAGGCCACGGTGGTTGTTGACGAATGTTTTTATTTTTAAATCCTTTATATTAAGTTCGCTTGCTTGCTTACGACCGTGCAAATCTTTCGGTCGTTTTTTAACCCACTTCCCGTGATCCAATCGAGCTGACATTTTACACAGACTCGTTGTGCGTGACAATTAATGTTCGTGAAAAAAGTCCAAAATTTTACACTTTTTAGGACAAAAATATTATATTTAATTACCAATTGCTTAATGGTGCAATGCAATCATCTGACCCATAGGTGGCAGTCATCTCAAGCCAGAGGACGGGAGGACTCTAGCCGCCACGCATATAAAGGATTGGTAATTAAATAACATTTTTGTCCTAAAAAGTGTAAAATTTTGGAATTTTTTTTTCACGAACATTGTCACGCACAACGAGTCTGTGTGGAAAATGTCAGCTCGATTGGATCACGGGAAGTGGGTTAAAAAACGAGCGAAAGATTTGCACGGTCGTTAGCAAGCAAGCAAGTGAACTTAATATAAAGGATTTAAAAACAAAGACCAGTGGTCCGTCCTGCCAGCCTTGCATTACTCATACCGCCCTCTTCTGTTCGAATGTGTTATTACAGGTCACTGCGGGGGTGGGCTGGTAGGAACGAACAAATGAATGGCTATAATAAAATGAAATGGCGGGGGTATGATACGAAGGGAGAGTTTGAGGCCTAGTTCTAGGCTTTAGGCCTAGCTGTAGGCTTTAGGCCGCTGTGAGTTAATTTTTTATTTAAATGTTTTAATTAAAAACTATCTCAGGGAATTATAAGGGAATGTTACACTTGTTTAGCCAGGAAAGCCTCACTTGAGTCTAAAGGTTTTTGTAGGGTCCTGCCAAGTGTTTGCAGTAGGGGGCGATGTTGCTACACCTAATCGGACATCGGACGGACGATATAATCTATTGTAGGCTGGTTCACTTCGTTCCTACCAGTAACAGTAGCACTTCTAACAATTAAGAGCCCTTTGTCAAGCCACACGCTGGATGAAGCCCCCCCCCCCTCCACGACTTGAGTCATTGTGGTGTTATTTGGCCATACTTCACCAGGGAGCATAGACATACAGGGCAATTATTTTTGGTCTGCTCCCTCCACAGCTCAAGCTATTACGATGGTTGTCCATCCAAGCACTCGCCCATCTCAACCCCGCTTAGATTCCGAGATCGAGCTTGGAGCAGAATGGACACTGACCGTACTCAAAGCTTCCTGTAACCACAGGGTGTTTTTTCAAACTTTGTTTTCGTTAAGCTAGCATTCACTGACTTTACTCGGAATGCTTCTGTTCATTTCACTCAAAAGTCCCAAGGCCAAAGAGACCAAACGAAATATGAAAGCACATTGTTACTTAACCTCTTTGCTGTGAACAATGTCCATTGCCCAACACGTCCGCCCATTATATATCCACACAAGTTTCCTTTTGTCGGAACGACTCGGGCAATGCATGACGTTGATATTGAACCGTGTAAATTGTGCCAGCAACACTTGCGGAACGGAGAAATAAGTTTCACAGAAATATGACTAAAACTATTCGTTTATTTCATTTTAAAATACAGATGACAACTAGAACGTACATGTCACAAAATTACGTCTCTTAAAGGTGATAGTGCGTGGAAGAGCTCGTGTCAAATTAAAACCAAGGAAACTTACAAGGTACAATACACGAAGTTAGGATTGTAACAGCCTGTTATTGCTCCCTAACAAGACCCAATAAACAACCCAACTAAATTTATATTGTGTGTGGCATTTACATACTAGTTACTATAACCAGCAGTCACACCCTAGTCACACCACAACACATGGCTGCTGCTCAAGACAGTTCATCGAGATATCATTTCGGGAGAAAATATTCAACGAGTGAAAAGAACCCCCATTGTAAATGGTGCGCGATGAAGCGAACATGACACTGGCAACCATAATTATCAAAATTGTGCAGCCTTGAAAATAAATTGCACTCAAATGAAAACAAACGCGCTCACTCCCTTTAACAATTACACTCACAGATATTGTAATCAGCTACAAATGGTTTGAAACCTTACTGCAAACAGTTCAGTATGGTTAAATTTTCAAGGTGCTTAGTATTCGGAAGGGAAACAAAACAAACCCTACTTAACGCATGCATCGTATCGAATGCGAACATTGTGAGGTAAAGTCAAAAGCAGAATCCTGGATTTCCACTCGGCACCCCGCACATAGAACCCTAATTTTCATCCCAATTGGTCGACGTTAACTTACGGTTGTAAAAATCTTTTGGCATATGAAAGATCCGAGCTCGGAAACGAGGTTTTATCGTTTCTCACGACTGCACTTTTGTGAGACCGAACCGACATTCCGCTCTTTGCTTTCTGTACTGGGCAGTGGCAGATGCCGCTTTTAGGGCGAGCACTGTCCCAGGTTGTGCGTGTCAGCGTTGGACAGCCCTTGACCACCACCACCCCCCCCCCCTTTTCCACTGGCACATATGAGCCGCGCCACCGCGGGGAGAACCCCCTCACACACCCATACACACCGACCGGTTTTCCACCTGCAACTTTACAAACCGAAGCCAGAACACAAAAAACCGTGATACGGTGAACTCGCAAAACACCGGAATTATTGTCGTCATACATTGCGTTGAAACGGCACGCTTCAACGCAAAACGCCGACGACACGCGTACAATTCAGTGCGTCCCACGTCGGCGGCATGGCTCCGGTTCTGCGCTAGAAAAACCTCTCCCGAGCTGCTCCGGGCTGGCTCAGCACGGGTGTGGCTCGGTTGTACAGTGGAAAGAGAAGCATTAGAGAAGCAGGCAGACGTGTGGGTTTCGTATTGCCGCACCCTGGAAGCCGGTTCGTGATCCTCGTGAATTCTCGATGTTTAAATGAACCATTATTATTCGTGGAAGCAATGGGTCGCCACTATGCCACTACTAAAGCAAGCATGGAAACTTAAAAAATACCACCTTGAAGGTCACCATAATATATATTTGAGCAGAATAACAATACACTCAATCAGGCATCTATGAAAAAATACTCAATCTAAATAAAAGCATTACTTCTGCGTATTATTTTGTAAAAATGTTTCCATTTGCGTATTGATCCAAATGGTGATAAATGACAGCACATACACTCAACCTACCCTGGTGTGTTTAAAAAAAGATTTTTTTTTCTCTCCCCCATTTATCTATTAGATTGTTATTCTAACTTTTTTTTATATAAGTTAACCATTATATTTTCTGGAGAAAAAAAAAAGCCGGTATTCATGAGTCCCTCTGGACTTGTCCATTCACGTCCTAAGAGGACGTCTGTTGCCACAAGACAAAGCCGTGCAAGACAGTACACGGACGCAAACACAAAATTAAAAACTCGGCCAGATCATCTGGTCTGCTTGGGTTTGAGTCACAGGATCATCTCCTCTGTCAATTGCCATACAGGCGCTTTGAAACGATACAACAAAAAAACGTGGAAATAATACAGGAAAATACAATTCATAGCTGCACAAACAAGGGGAAATGTAGAGATTCCAACATTTACATTTGCAGCGTTGCTGCCTCTGTCGGTTTGTACAAGCCTGGCTGTCGTCAAACCCCTGACCAAGTTCTGACACCCATCACAATTGTGGCAAAGAGACAAAAGGAACGGATTGTATGTAGGGGGTGTACGTATGTGTGTCCATGTCCGGGTGAGTAACATGCTCACATGTTTGTGCAAAGAGACAAATTGCTCGATGGACCCATCTCTAAAAGTTTACATAAGGCATTGTCCTGGAGGGATCGTCGGTTGAAATGTTGAACTGTTATGTTTTTACTTTCATTTTTCTCTCTCCGTCTCTCTATACTTGACGGCGGAAAGTGACTGTTGCCAACTTGTTCCGCCTGTGCCACGCGGGAAGGGGGGGGGGTGGAGGAAATCACACACCAACCCGTGGCGGGAATCACCGCCAATGTTTTTACGAGTGACCCAAATGACTGACAAACACACGGAGAGGGGGGCAAGGCGAGAGACACTTAAATGAACATTGGTGGGGGGGGGGGGGGGGGTCGAAAGAAAAGTTTGGATGGGGAGATATATTGGGCTGGTGGTGGTGGTGGGAGGGGTAGCAGAGACGTTATGGGGGTAGAGAGGAGGTGAAAGGTCGGCTCAGGACAGCTGGTCCAGGGCCTTGAGCAACTCCTCGCCCTGCAGGAGCGTGCGGCTGTCCTGCACCGGAGCGTTCACCTCGCAGTCGTAGCTGTTGAGCATCGGCAGCGTGATGTCCTCCAGAGTCGGGCCCAGCAGCCGGCTGACGAGGTCTGTGCATTGAACCACGGCGAAGGGAGAAACTTCAAAAACGCACGCACGCATAATATTGCACAGCGTCCATGGAGCTACGGATACATTTTCAGTGCTGGGTCACATTTTCTGCTTTTTATACGTTTGGTCTCTATCTGCTGCAGGGTGGGGGAGAAAGTGCTGCCCCTCTCAAGTGTAGATCAGAAGTAGTTCTGTGGTACCAGCTTTCACGGGCCGTGCGCTCTAACACCAAGTGGGAGTTTTGTAATGCAGCACAAGAGTTAATAATTGATTCTTCGACTATTTTTTTAGTTTAATTTGTTGTCCTTCCCCCCCACACCTCCAATTGATTAGCGCGGTTGGCTACGCATGTTGCAAAAGAAGTTCAACATCCATACACACATACGTGACGCCAATAAACAGCACAATTCGAGATAAAATTTGGGGGGATTTTTTCTTTAATATAAGACTATATAAACGGCTTACCTGACGTAAGTGCCTCCGCTTCCACGTCTTGCGATACCTTGCTCCGTTTCAACGGCAACTCCGCCAGGAACTGCGTCTTGTTGGCACCTTCCTGTTTGTTAATGACGACCTGGGGGCATCCGCAGAGGACAAGGAGATCGATTAGAGTGGCGGCAAGCGTTGATCTTCATCCGACGTGCGGTTAAAAGGTGCCGACCTCCTCAAGCGACGGTGCAATTAAGCCGAGGTGGTGCAATGTGGCCTCGTCCTTCAAGATGCGAGCCTGTGAATGTGTTCGATAAAATGGGTTGGCAACACTGAATTAAAGAGTACGTTCTTGTTCAGAATTTTATGCTTTTGGTGTGGCTTTAATTAGCCAGAGATTATTAAACGATCATTGATTCTTACACTTCTGATACATTGCATTATGCCTGTACAGACATGTATTTCTATTCGTAAGTATATGAAATATTGCATATCACAAGGATAATTATAACTCTAATTGTCAATATTCAGACCGTTGACTTGATTCTTTGATGTCTCATTTGTACCAGATCATGTTCACTGTTTCTCATTTTTAGTTTTCTACTAATGTATGGAGGTGCGGTTTTCGTGCTCCATTGAGCTTAAAATGTAAAACAAGCACATCATTGTCATATAACTTCTACAAAACCGTTAACGATCCCCACACACGACAATTGAAGACGCGTCAATCACGAGCGGAAGAATGCGTTTCAATCAAATCGCATCCACATCTGTAGGTGCGGGTGCCGCGCAAGTGTAGCAGCTGGTGCATTGTGGGCAAGTGCCGCCACCTGCTGGAGGAAGGGCCCCGTGGTGCCCGTCTGCCACTTGCGCTTGACGGCGCTTGCGATCGTCGTCAGCGACGCCTTGGCGAGACTCACGTCGCTGCCGCTGCAACATCGACAATCACCGCGTCAGCATCGTCATCGTCTGCGGCCGTGATTTATCCACCGCCGGATGAAAGCCTCCCCACAAAGCCGTCGCCCATCTGTGTCGCGATCTCACGACGACGTAGCGATCCCATCTGGCTTGTGTACACGAGCCGATACCATCGTCCCATCTCCACGGTGGGAGTACTGTGTGGCGTGTTCCGTTTTGGCTGTCACTGTTGTTAGTCTTGAGCACCAGCCATTATCACTTCTACTGTCCTGTCACAACCCAATCGCTCTCGAAGCCTGCTGAATTAAGAGGTTCCACGCCTTCCCCCCCGACCTACTTTCTATGAAATAAATGCATCCACTGTTTGTGTACGGCATCACAAGATGCGGTTGCGTGCAGACACTGTTTAAATATATTGTACCAACATTGTTTTGACTTGCGAAGGGACCATACAAACTCGCACAGACCCATAGATTCACAGTCTCGCATGCAGATAGACTCGCATAGCGACTAAAGGACTCACAGATTGACAGACCTATAGCTTCACGTAGTCTCGTTTAGGGACACACACTCGCATCTGGATCTACGACTGACTGAGTCTATAAAATAACATTCCCACCGTTTCTCTACAGTGCCGTGAGATGCAGACACATTTTGACACTCCATACATCCAAACTCTACTGTATCTAGCAGTGGACAGAGAATAATTCCCGACGATGAGGATCACTGACCATTCCATTGAACCCCCTTGCATAGGTGGTGGGGATCACTCACCTGACCACGACGGTGCTGGGCAGGGAGGCGACGGTCTGCGCACGTGGCGCCTGCTGCAGCAGGACAATGGTGGTGGGCGCGCTTACGACGGCGCCGGTTGTGGTGGTGGTGGTGCCGGACCACGGGATGGCCGACACGACTCCGCCGGGCAGCGTGGTGCCGACCGGCACCGTACCGCTGATGAGGATGTGCACCGTGGACATGGTGAACGGCGGCGGCGCTGTCGGCGCTAACTTGCTCTGGCTGCTCGTCACGATTAAGTTCGCCTGCTGGGAGGTTGTGGGAGAGGGAAGATGAGGATGTTGTTACCAAGGTGCAAGAGACACCATCTCAGTCTTTAATGGATTTAAAGGCCAGGGGTAGAGAACCTACAGCCTGATTTAAAGAGGTAGGCCAAACCAGGCCAACCTCTTTGAAACGGCCTGCAGACCACATTTTTTCAAATTGTTGTTGATTATTTGTAATGTTGTGGAGCTGACGACAAGCATTTCGCTGCACCTGCTATAACATCAGTTTAACGGTGTATGAGACCTATAAACTATGACCGATTGATTCATTCACCCATCGCTGCAAACATTTTAGCCACACTAAATCGGGTGCCCGAAGGTGCAATCTTTTCGCACACTTGCAAAAGGTTATATTCGCACGATGCAATCATTGCGAGAGAAAGTGGTCCACACGTGCGCCGACCTGCCTGTCAACTCACTCACTGCTGGACGACGGCCTTCCCACGCCCGTGTGGAAGCCCTCGTCCAGCGGCGGGCGAACAAAAATGGGTTCATCGCAAGCACAGCAAAAACAAATGTGAAATTACGCAAACGCAACTGCGCACCTGACCCCACGAAGGGTGGACACCTCAACGCGTTCGCGCGTCGCCGCCGTGCCCGCACAGCCTCTCACCTCTGCCGGCATCGTGGCCGTGTGCCGGCTTGACGGGGAGGCAGGGCCTTCCGGTGACCCCAGCGACGGCGACGGGGGCTGTGGGGCGGCGGGGGGCAACGATGTGGGGCCGCAGGCCGGGGTCGGAGCGTCCACCGTTGACGATGACCGCTCGCTCTGTGAATGCGTGCGGCACGGGGAAGGGGTGGGGGAGAGGAGGGATGTGGAGCTGAGTGGATTTGCTGATGACTCGTACCAGCGCTGTCAGAATCGGCCTCTGTGGAGGAGGCTAGTGAAGGACGCAACTGGAGAGTTGGAGGCAGTCGCCCTCCAGCAACAGTCGAGGGCAGAGGAGTGACGCTCACAACAAGCGGCTAAAACGCAAGAAGGGGGCACACAGGTGGTGCATCGGCCAGTCATCTCAGTCAGTCAACCCATGGTGCCTGGGTCTGTCCCGCGACCTCCTGTGGCCTCAAAGTGCACCAAGCCTTGCCTTAAAGAGAGAGGTCGGTCTGCTCGAGCAGAGAAATTAGCATGTAAATGAGAGAGCTGTGTGGAAATCCACCCCACGGCAGCAGGGGGAGAGAAAGACCCAGCAAGTCTGGTAAAACATTTTTAGAGAGAGTTGTATGGAATTCCACCCCGACACAGAAGCATTGGGTCTCTGTGTGTCTATGTTGTGTGTCTGTCTGTGTTCTCTCTCTTTGCTTGTGTGTCTGCCTGTGTGTCTCCGTGTCTGTGTTTTGTCTCTCTCTCAAATTTAGTTCTAACTGATGACTGCTTGTGTCGCAATCGAAACGTCGTATTCTATTATTCCATTTATTTTCTTTCTACGCGACTTTACCGAAAGAACCACGAAAGCTTAAAATCACACGACACAATGACATCCAAAAAACAAATAAGACAGTACAAAGTTCTAACGGATGACGGACCGGCCGCCCGGCGGAGCTGACCTGGCCGGGCGAGGAGAGGGTGGACCCGTCGGGCGGCAGCGTGAGCGAGTCCTGCAGGCTCAACGTGCACAGCTGGTAGTCGTCGCCATCCATCGGGATGTACGGTGCCAGCATCTCCAGGTCCATGTCATCCTAGTGGATGGGGTTGGAGGGGAGGGAGGAAGGGAGGGAGGGAGCAAGGGAGGACAACCTTGTTTACACAGGCCTCTTGGGCGATTGTCGCGTGTGTGCCGTCACACTCGCACATAAACACACAAGTCTTTTTACCCGGCTAACCCACAAGACAGAATTCAATAGAGGCAGTTCACAGTTGAATGACCGTTCCTGTACGTATTGATTGCCGCTCGTAGTTGCAAAGTCGCTTCCTTGTCACTCTCAATGTATGTTGAACCTCTTTTGCACCGTACGGAGCCAAACGTGCTAATTAATTGCCAGTAAGAACTAATCAAATAAATTCAAGTAATCATTTGTCCACACTAGGGGAAATGCATTTTGCGACGTGACTTGCTGTAGACATGTCCATTGCATGGCTGTCAAACCAATGCATCTTTTAATTCTCAGAGAGGAAAGATTGCCAAAATAAGTTAATAAAATCAATATCATTCCATTCACACGCGCTCATGACTAGACTGTCAACTCGCTACATTTGAGAACCCAGTTTAACCACAGCTGCCCGAAACCTGGATCCGAACCCAGGGCCTGGCCGGTGCTGTTTCAGTTTCTCCGACCCTCTCGAGCCACTCGACCACCTCCCGAGCAATGCAAGAATGCCCCCACGTGTTGCGAGGATCGGCGCGCAGGCGATTCACGTACGTGCTTGAAGCTGCCCTCCTTGATCTCCGAGTCAACGGCAAACAGCTTCTCAATCAGGTCCACCTTCAGGTCACCTCCGACGGCCGAGTAGTAATCACTGGGGCTGTTCGGCTGCACACAGAGGGAGCGGCGTTCCAGCGTTAATGTACGAGGCGGTCAGCGAACAAGCGGGTAAAATATCCCACCCCCCTCAACTCACAAAATACCTGCTCACCCACCCCAACTCCTGCACAAGGATTAATTTCACGGAATTAAGAAAGTCGCCGAACTGCGACTGCAACTTCACTGTGTGGCCTCCGAAACTCGGATCACGACTGGCGACCGTTGCCCGAACAGCACACGTTTTTGCAGGCGCTACAAATGGAATGCAACTGTTGACTCCAGAGGCCATCGAATGGCTTTTCCAAAACTCAACAATCCGATGTCTTGCATCACTGCCACGCCACCACACAAATGTAAGCGACCTTGCGGTCGTGCCGGGGGGTGTGCCGGGGGGGGGCGTGCCGGGAGGCGTGCCGTACCGCCGTGGACGGAGCTGTTGCCGGGGAGCCGGAGGGCGACGACGGACCGGACGAATGCTGCGGCGCCGTGAGGGACGAGTCGCCCGCGGGGCCGGCCTCCGTCACCGCCACAACCGCCGCAGGGAGCTCGGCGAAAGCCTTGGTCGGCGTCGCCGGGGACGGCATGGGTTCGGGCGAGGCGGCCATCATGACGTCATTGTAGAGCGGAACGTCGTCGAACGACGCCAGGCCCGTGCCTGCTCGCGTGACAAGGCGGCAACGACGACGGTGGCGTGGAGATGTGACGCGGTGGCCGATCGCGTGCGGGACGAGAGGGATCGGCAGCGATTGCAACGGAGAGAGAGCAAGCGGACAGTCGGGCTTAGCAATCTGTCGATCAAGCCAGGTGAGCGAGTGTGCGGGGGGGGGGGGGGGGCGCAAGCAAGTTAGCGAGCGCCGCTTACCAAAGTCGAGGGGCACCACGACGTCTCCGGCCGTGGGTGCGAGCTGTGCCAGCTCGTCGGGCTCGTTCTTGAGCTGCGTGTAGAGCAGCGCCATGTCTTCCTCCTCATCCGTGCCATCGCTCGCCGCTTCTCCCGCCGCCACCACTGCCACCGCCGCTTTGTTGGGCTTGAAGAGACGCTCGGTCTGCTCCAGCGAGAAGATGGTGTCGTTCTCCACGATCCCGCTACGCACGGGTGACACGCGTGACAAGCGAGCTTTGGCATCTCGTCGAGCAATTGGGAGCCACGATGGTCGGTTGGATCGATCGGCTAAAAGATTGTAATCAACTACTTTTGTTGTTGTTGTTGTCAATTACTCGAGAACATTTAAAAATGGCAGGGAGTTTTAGTCTTTGTGGGCAACAGCAGCAGCAGCAGAGAAGAAGTGACCTCCAATTTAGTTGGTTTACCTAAAAGGCTGACGGCTGGGACAGCAGCCACACGGCCATAAGCATCCACCACCTCATGGCCTGAGAGAGCATCCTTCCAACATCGATGCCACGAGTACGTACGCATGTTGAACTTCTTTCGCACCGTATGTAGCCAAGCGCGCTCATTCCGAGGCCGGCCACTCGCTGCCGACTATTTTGCCTCGCATTGGCCGAACCTGAGCACGTAGTTGACGCAGACGACGCACTGCGGCTGGGAGTTGCGGGAGCTGTAGATGACGGTCGCCTGGGTCTCCACCCACGCGTAGCCCCCGCCCTTGGCCAGTATGCGGTACTGCCCCGTCACGGCCTGGCCCTTGGTAAACACTGCGTGACATCACGGATACAAATAGATCCCCCCGTGTAGCCTTTAACAAGCTGCTGGGCAAAGCGCTGTCAGCCAGTACAGCACAGAAGGGGGCGTGCGCGTGCAGTGTGGCCTGTAGCATCACGCTCAGTCGCCTTCGTTTTCCCCCAGTGCTAAAGCTTACACGATGCACTGACGCGTTCTCAACATAGGGGGGAGTCCCAGGGCCTGTTCAGACGCCAATCGCCACTCATGTTAGTTACGTGCCGGGAATCGAAACTCGTGGCGCTCGTGGGCGTTGCACTGAAGTGTAACTCTTCTGGGAGGGAACTTTGCTGCTCTTATCAAATGTTGTGCAATATCATATCCTATGGTTCGTTTCGGTAAAGTCCTGATGATGACCGCTTGTGTTGCGATCTAAACGTCGTGATATTTGTAATATTTTTAATCACTTTATTTTCATTTTTATTATTTTATTGATATTATTTTTTCTATTTACGTGACTTTACCGAAAGAACCATAGAATATGAATTCCTGCAGTTACGAAAGTTTTAAGTCAAAAATTGTGCAATTTGTTATGCAAATGCCGCAACAGGAATTTCATGAACAGCCCCGACCCTTCACAGCCACGTCGCCTTCGGCTTCGTGTCACTCCGATGCCGTGTTGTGTGATTTACTTGTCGGAGAGCATCAAAATAAGCTCAGCTGTGCATTCAGTGCAGCACACATGCACCGTAAATATACAGCACCCAAGGCATTTTGTGTTAAAAACCACCCTTCCTACATTTCACACGTGGGTTTTGGAACGTTTCAAAGTTTAACGTGTTGTTATATTTATAGTCAATCATTTTGTTTAGGTTTCATTTACGTTGAGTGGCATCGACACTCATTGTTGCAGCTGCTAGCCGGACTTTCCAGCTCGCCAGACCAGGGACATTCCACTTTGCTGGTTCGTGCGTCTCGCCGGGGGAGTTCTTCTCTGCATTAGAAGTCAAACTTGATGCAACACTCACAGTTGTGGTGGCTCTTGGTCATGTGGTCCGAGTCCAGGGCGTGGTAGTACTCGTAGACTGAACGGCCAAGCAACTCATCGGGGTGGTAGCCAATCAGCTCTGTGATCCTGTGCGGCACATTTCAAGCACAATTAAGGCCAATAATACAATATCGTCATGAGCATCCATCAAGATCATCCTGTGGCTTGGTATTGCCTTCATCGTCATCATCATATCTTGATGTGGATTGCTATTGTCTTTTATCGGCATCAGCAATATAAAAATGATCATCATTATCCTGAAATGGACTGGCAATGCTTTCTTCATCAGTATGGTCATCATCCTGATACAGACTGGTATTGCCTTCCTCGTCATCATCAGCTTCATCATCATTATCCGGATCTATTAGAGTTCAAATCCTATTTGGGGGTTCACTCGACCCATCATCCCTCAGGGGTCGATAAAATGATTCATCACTTTGTGGAGAAGTCAACGGTGGTTCCCCGATGCAGAGACTTGACCCCACCATCTCAATGTGGAACTTTCACCACTGAGCTCAGGGCTGTGAAGAGGAGATTAGCACCACCTCAATGCTCTTGAACGGGAAATCACTCTTACAAAAACTATTTCTCGGATTTCAGTTCCTGCCAAATGCTGAAATCCTCAGAACTTGCAATGACGATGATGGTGGTGATGCAACTCCAATGTAATGTAATGAGATGCTTTATTTATTTATTCCGTACGTAATGTGGCAAGATGAAAAACATTTCCAACAAGAATGATTATGCTGAAAGACGGTCGTGGCAATTATGACGACGATTGTTATGACGAGTGACAACGATCGTGATCATGGTGATAAAGAGGACAACGATGATGATGACTACAACAAGGGATACAATTCTAATTACACTGGTGACGACAACGATGAAGATAACTATGGCGATGACGAGGACAGCAAAACCGATGCCAGCTGACGACGATGACGACGGCTGTAACAGCACTTACGACTGCGACGATGACTACAGCTATTCCGACATGGGACAAGAGTGATGGTAACAACGGTCATGACGACGACGACAACAACCAAGGATGAAGACGACCTTGGCGACGACAGTCGGCGGGGCACAGCGAGCGAGCGACGGCACCGACCGCGGCCAGCTTGACGCGGTCAAGCGCCGCGCACGCACAGATGCACGTTGGACTTCCGTTGCATCGTACGTCGCCAACTGTGCTAATCGGAGGCGCTGGGCAAGAGGCAGCCGCTGCCGGTCCCCGTTACCTCTCGTCGCAGTAGGTGAAGCGCATGTCCATGCTGTGGCGGCTCAGGAAGGTCTTGCTGTCGAGCGGCACCTCGATATTGGACGGGTGCGGGATGGGCTCGCAGGTCATGACGAGGCACACGAGGGGCGGCTCCCGGAAGCCGCCGCCGCCGGCGCTCGCCGCGCTGCCCTCGTACAGCTTCATGTGCCCGCTGCAGTGCAGCACCTGCGCGCCACAGCCGCAAAGACAAAGATCCCCCGTATAGCCTTAGCAGACCTTTGGGACAAGCACTGTTGAGGAGCGCCTATGAAGGCCGGCAATACACACGATGGCAGTGGTGGGTGGACAGAACCGCGCCCGGCCGCATTTGCATGCACCCGCAAATGGACAAGGGTGTACATGCTTGGCATGTATGCATGCGTCTTTAAGTGGTTAGCGCACTGTGCTATGGAACCGGCGGCTCGAGTTCGATTCCCGTGCTGGGCCTCCCCTAGGCCAACTCAGCCTTAAATTAGTACCTGGTGCGGTAGGTCATCATCGGCACTGGGGAGACAAAGACGGCCAGGCACAGTGCTGGCTACCTACCCCGTCGTGCCGGCCTTCATAGGTTGCTTGCTAACGGCACTTCCCCAACAGTCTGTTCAAGGCTATACGGGGGATCTTTGTCTTTGTGTGCAAGTGGTGGTATTGTTTGTGCAATAACCTGGGTTAAATTCCCAGCCATGGTTTCACATGCACACCGGGGGACGAACAGAACCCGAACCTGAGATTGGCATCGTTTGGGTCAACTTGGTCTAAAATGAGTCTTTTTCCGTGCTCGGAAACAAAATGTGGCTGGGAATATTTATTGGGGAAAACCTCGCGTAATGATGCTAATATTTGGTTTGGGGTTATGGTGTCGATCCTATCTCCCGTTTGAGTTCAGGACAAAGCCTTAACAGGCGACGGCTAAAAAAGACTTAAGTGTGGATTTCCTGGTTATTGTGCGTGGATGTGTGCTTATATGCGAGATACTTGGTAGACTCCTGCCGAATCTTGAACACACGAGCGACACAAATACGCACACTGTCACGCACCGTCGTAGTAACCGGCGACACTTGACAGCCGGGTTGACAAACAGCCGACGGACAGACAGTTGACAAACAGCGTGCACACACACGCTGGGCTCGCACAGATTGCATCATCACTGACCAGCGGCAATAATGCAATTCAGCTCAGGGAGACTTTAGCTGGGTTGCTTTTTTATTTATTTTATACGCAGGAAATGACCGTGCGTGGGAGCATATTGCGAACAGTCAAAACACTGCGCGAATTTCTACACAGCCATCATCCTTTACTGACGAATCTAGACTGAGATAGCAGTCTGTAACCGTAACGTTTGTCACGGTGTTCGTGATTTGTACTTGCGTTATTTTTTTCTAGAATATTTTTTTAGTGATCTTCAGCAGCACATGACAGAAGCATATGCAACAACCACAGCCTAGATTATTGGCAAATATTTCATCTTATCACATCTAAAATCTGCCCAGTTAAGGAGTGTTTTACAACCCCTTTTAATGTAACGATGCCAATACACAGGAAAGAGATGTGTCACCCTCACCTCCCTCACCCACCCCCCCCATTTAGCATTTCAGGCTGAAAGCGCAAGTGCTGTTAGTGAGCACCCATTAATGTCGGCATCGCGCATGCGTGGGCGAGTGGTGTGGCTAGCACCACGCTTCCCATTGCTGACAATTACTCACCGCACCAGGTACTCATTTGAGACTTGAGTAGACCTGGGGCAGGTGCCGTACCGGCTCCTATATTCACCACCGACGTTAGCCATGGACGTGAATACAACCCAGCTCGGCAGATACATTTCTCCTCGCATTCACCAAACCATGCGAACTCCGCATCTCCCAAAGATCTTCACCGGATATCAAAACTTACATCGCGCAGTAAAATCTGTCTTAATCGTCCATACGACATCATCACGGCTCCACCCTAACCGGGTGGGTGAGTTTTACGCACTACATACACACAAACACAGGAAGAAAAAAACCAGGCAACATCAAGAACAGCCGCCATTCGTCACCAAGTGCTGGTAATGTCATCACAGCCGTTGCGCCAGGCTCGGTGCACCTGGAGGCCATGTGAAGTGTCGATGGCTCGTTGACAGGAGGACACGGGACAGACCCAAGAGTTGTGTGTTAACTGCCTGAAATGACTCAGAACAGATGCACCACATGCTCCCCACTATGCCAAATACAGACGCACCTAAATACACACACACACACGAAACAATGAAATGCCCCCCACCTTCCACGATGCGGACTTGAGGTTGACGGTGCGCCCGCGGTTCGTGAGCGTGCACTTCATCCTCATGAAGAAGTCTCGCTCAGTGCTCCCCTCCTTCGCTTTCTTTCCCGCTGCTGCCGAGCACCGCGCACACACACGCGCACACGCACACACATGCACGCACACGCAAACACGCAGAGCCGGTGTTACGTTTGCCGTCGCTCGATGGCTGCAGTCAAAAGTCAGTGCTGCATAGAGTTAACCAAACACAAGCATAGCTGCAAAGTACACAGCTAAGTGCGTGTTTTTCTTTTCTTCCAGGTGGCTCAATGGTTCACTGCGGGAGCCACCGCTGTGTGTTAGAGGACTCCTTGGGGATATGTTCACACCAAAGCTGTGTATTTTCGAGACAATTTTGATCACTCGGTAGTATACAAGTAGAGACCTTTCGGTAATCCACTGCTGGATGAGGGCCTTCCCATCCCATACTGTGTCGGTTATTGGTATTATTTGACCACATTTATCTACGTTGGTCAGTGCAGGTTGGGAAAAAGCTAGGTAGTGGCCCCATGGCGGGTTCAGATATTGCCGATGTTAGCCGTGGCCGGGACCCGGGTAGCCAGGTTCATGATGCGGCGCATGACCCCGCATGCACCTACGCATCCCAAGTGTGGCTTTCCACCACAGGAATTTTCACCACAGAGATCGCCACAGCAAAGAGAGACGAGCGCCTCCCTCGTGCTCATTGGAGGACGGGCACCATCCCGAGTTTTAGCGTCGACAGGAAACAAACCAGATGTTCCGCCCACGTGTTCGCCCAAGTGTTGACACATCACAACGTACAGAAACGTGATTTGAAGCTTTCGTGACTGCAGGAACTACTCTTTGGTTCTTTCGGTAAAGTCACGCAGAAAGAAAATAAATTAAATAATAGAATACGACGTTTCGATTTCAACACAAGCAACCGTCATCAGGTAGAACTCAATTTGAGAGACAAAACACAGAAACGGAGACACACAATCTAATTTCTCTGCTCCAGCAGCTGCCCCAGCAGACCCACCTCTCTCTCTGCTCCCCCCCTCTCTATTTAAGGCCTCGACAGAGGCATTGGGTCTCTGTGTGTCTATGTTGTGTGTCTCTCTCTGCTTGTGTCTCCGTGTTGTCTCTCTCTGCTTGTGTCTCCGTGTTGTCTCTCTCTGCTTGTGTGTCTGTCTGTGTGTCTATGTTGTGTGTCTCTGTGTGAGTCTCTCTCTGCTTGTGTCTGTCTGTGTCTATGTTGTGTGTCTCTCTCTGCTTGTGTCTCTGTGTTGTCTCTCTCTGCTTGTGTCTGCCTGTGTATATCGGTGTCTGTGTTTTGTCTCTCTCTCAAATTCAGTTCTACCTGATGACGGTTGCTTGTGTCGTAATCGAAACGTCGTATTCTGTTATTTAATTTATTTTCTTTCTACGTCACTTTACCGTGAATAACCAAAGAGTACAGACACGTATTTGGTCACATTTCTTTACGACGCTTAGAACTGAATTGTACGAGGGCATCGTAAACGAGATGTGTGTGCAACTCGTCTCAGTTGCGCATCACCAAAGTGGCTACGTAATTCAATTTGTGTTTAAAGTTCATTCTCTATCTTTACGGGAACGGTAAACACAGTTTGATAAGCAATTTTTTTTACTTAATGTAGTTAATAGAACACGACCTTCTAGAACTTCCCACAGCATGCATGCAATTACTACGTGACCTTCTGGAATGTCCGGTTAATTGAAGACGTTCATCGATTCCATGGGGTATTGTGCAATAAATTTAACGAGTGAGGAATTTGCCAGAACACGTTCCATATCACGTTATTCATTCTTTTTTTTGCATCTGCAAAAGAAGTGTGCAGCATGCATTTCATTCAATATCACACTACATTTATATTCTCAAGTGAAAGTATACAAATAAATATTCGGCTCACATCTTCGTAACAGTTTAACAGAATATTTTACTTGAACCGTTTTGTACAGTTTCGTTTCTGCCGTCAGACTACATTGTAACCCTAATTTACCATCAATTTCATTTGTATAACGAACGGATGGCTTGTCGTGATGGCACAATTGAATGCATTTACAACGAGCGTTAAAACTCTATAATTGACGAATTGCTGCGCTGTTGCATGCGGGCATCAGGCATGTTCTGAAAGCAAGGTTTTCGTGTTGCCTCATAGGGGATGCCACTTCACTGGCAGACCTCCGAGGGAGGGGCTTTCGCCGACGCACCTTGTCTGTATACGAGCATCTCCCGCACCTCCTCTTGGTCACATGGGTGAACAAAGTCGAAGATGCTGTGACCCATGAGGTCCACCTACAAGATGAGAGAACAAATCATGACCAGTGTCACGGGGCGATGTCTTTAATCGTCCCCGCGTGGCCATTCGCTCGTGAGCTCATTGCAATTATTCAGTCTCTCATTCAGTCGCTCGGTCGATGGCTCAATCACGCAGTTACCAAGTGACCCATTGCTCTTTACTTCGGTACATTAATTGCGTTTTCAGTTTCCCAATTGCTCCGTAAATCACTCCTACCTTCACTCTCACCAACTCAAGACACTTCAGCCCTTTAACTACTCGTCCACTCAATCGTTCAACTACCCATCCATCCAGCCAGCCACATACTCCGTTATTAACTCCTTCACTCACTCACTCACCCGCTGACACCATAAATAAAATAAAAATATCCAATGTGTCGCCTTCAACAGACTGTTGGGGCAAGTGCTGTTAGCAAGCATCTATGAAGGCTGGCACGGGGCACGAGAGGGTGAGTGGCCAGAACCACACTCGGCCACCTTTGTTTTCCTTGTGGAGATGTTTACACACCACACCAGGTACTCATTCAAGGCCGAGTCAACCTAGGGGAGGCCCAGGACCAGTTCAGATAATCGTCACTGGTGTTGGCCATGAGCAGCAATCGAACCCTAAATCACACACAAACACACACTCATGCACTCGTGTATTAAGCCACCCACTCACTCAGCCACCCACTCACTGTTCATACAAGTCACAGCAAGCCACAGTGATCGCACCTGGGCCAGGCCCACACACTTGTTGACACCGTCCGACAGGAACACCATGTCGCCCTCCTCCGTGAGGGCCATGACGAAGCCCTCCAGGGCCTTGCCGAAGAGGCCGTCCATCTCTTCTTGGCAGTCCTCAACCACCGCTCCTGCAAGCAAGCCGGGGCAGAGAGAGGCCAAAGTGAGATCTAAAACATCGTTTCCACGAGCACTGGGAACCGTACTTCGTTGGCCCAGGAACAGGCCAGTTATAACTCCCAGGAGCAGTAGCACAGCCCGTATTAATGTTCCCCAAACACCCTGAGCCTTCGTAAGCTCGGCACCTCCCGCTCCATACAGTGATTTAGTAACTTCACAAAACAAATCGGAATTGCATTTTGATTCTAAAATTGTTTTTTTTTTGCTGCTGTTGGTTGGCTTCGCAATGTCTCATTCGTGTTGCTGTGCGTGCGATTCTCTATCTCGTTTGCACGGTCATCTAGCCAGCAGCAGCAGCCTCCCATTTGTTTCAGCCAATTTGGTCAAATTTAAGCACTAATCCCGCCACCACCACCACCCCCCATTTATCTATCGTCTGATCCTACAGCATCAACTGCCACTGCCGCTCGCGACCCCCACCGCACCTATATCCCCCCCCTCGTTGCCACGGCAACTCCCCCATCACCTCGAGACCGGGATAAGTGCATGAGACAGCGCAAGAAACGCGGGAAGCGGCTGCATATTCAGTCATGTCATCGTGATCAAAATGATGAAATAAATTGACGGACAAGAGCGGGTTGGGGTGCTTTTGAAAATATGAACTTGATAACGAAATGGAACACACCGAAAGAATGGTTTTAATAGGTGCGAATGACCCGCTTTGGCGAATGGATCAGAAATACAAGAGACAGTGAAGAAGAAAACGGAAACAAAATCTGAAAAGTGCACATACAAGCATGGGTAAGTGCACGCTTGCAATTTACTTTGAGAGACAGGAGGAGGCACATAGGCAAGTTAGAGACGTCACAATATTGACCGCTAAAACAAGTGGGGTTGAGCAGGAAACGCCGTTAGGAGTGATGGCCGTTGTTTCCGAGATTAACGTTGGGAGTGGCAGCCAATGGAGGGAGAGCACGTTGCGTCGTGGCGATGGAGCGACGAAATCGTCCAATGCGTGGGTGGCAGATGTGTCGTTACATTGCAGGGGGGGGGGGGGGTGTTGATTTGGGGAGGCTTCTATGCAGCAGTGCGTTACTCAGCGCCGATTGTGATGATGATTACGAATTCTCAGGCGGGTGACGGGTGACACGCGCCTGGCGGTTATCATCGCTGACGCGACTGGCACACGCGTGGGGGAGACAGGGTGGGGGACTGTGTGGCACGGGTGCAGTGTTCATATTCAACCCCCCCCCCGCCGCCCCCATACCGACGTGCGCCAAATTCCCAAACTGCGTGGCGGTGCAGACGGTGGTCCTCCTGACACGCAGGCAAGTAGCCGTTTAAATATAGGACCGTTAATAATGACCTTTCCTTGATGGAGAGGGAGAGTGCTGGGGTGGTGAAAGCAGCGGCAATGATGAGTATGAAAACAATACAGCCCAGAAAGGCGAGGGGGGGGGGGGCAAAGTGACCCAGAGGTCAGTGTACAGAATCTGGCACCACTAAGATCCTGGATTGGATTATAAACTGGGTTCTAAAGTCTTGCAAGTTTGTGTGTCAAGCCCAGTCACCACGTTAAATCGGATTGTGCACCTAATTTGGCCAAATTCGAGCTCCGAGAATTAAAAATATCGACTTTCAGTGCCACAAACATTACTCGCAAATGGCAGAGCGGGTGGGGAAGTGCTGCTCACTGCTTTGTGTCGAGCAGAGAGGTAACTTGAAGAAGGGATATATGCTTATGTTGGCCATTCTCTAACAGGAAGAGGGCTGCACTGCTCAGTGAAAAAAAGATGGATAATAATTCATCTCACAATGCAACCATCCGGACAAAACTGCGGGAGGACAACAACATAAACCCCACAAGGGCAGACGCTCAGGGCAACGGCAGTGAACTTACAACGGTTTAATGCCACTATGTCATATGTAACTGCCATCTGTAGCTGGGGTGATACAAGAAAGTTCTTAACCATAGAGTTTTACTGATTAATTTTTTTGGTTGCCTTGTTAAAAGCTCTGCAATCCAAAGTGCAGAGGGCAATGAACATTTACAGCATCTCAGGTGACAGAGCATCATCTCTTAATGTTTGCTCTGATGGGGTTCAGGTTCAAATGAGCTGCCCTGAGAAGGCCTGCTCATATGTGGAGTCATGCATTTTGAGACAGTCGGTGGCTAGGAAATGTTAACTACCCCACCTGGTATACACGAGGTCATGGGTTTGATTCTGACCCTCACGCCTACTTATTTGAAGTTTGAATGTTTCTCCCTGTGGTCGCGTGGATTTTTCTCCGGGTCTTCACGTTTTTTTCCCTCCACATTTAGAAACGTGCGCTTGAGAGTATTTGGCTGATATCAATTTCCACATTAGCCACTTCGTTGAGCTATCGTCGCTTCTGTAAAAGCTATATAAGCTCAGTGGGCCTTACTTGGTAAGATAAAAAAGTTTAGTTTTAGTTTTACGAGGGGTAAATAAATAGAATCTCTTTCCTTGGTCCAGTTGGGATTCTGAGTCTGTTTTATATGAAAAATAATGTTTAACATTAACCTATTTGCACTGGCTTTCCCCGTAAGGTAAGATTTTTTTAATCATTGGCCTTTCCTTTTGTCCGATTGGATTACTGTGCAATTATTATAATTAATAATTATTATTCGTTTTCATCATAGTGTGTTCTTCATTTCATTAGTATTTTGAGTGTAGTGCCATTGATATTGTTATTATCAGCTTTCTATTTCGCCTACATTTTATCTATACTTGTGAGTGTAGTTACAATTTATTTACATACAGCGCTTTGAGATATTTCGATCGGAAAGGCGCTGTATAAAATAGAGCTCATCATTAAGGGTTTGGGTTAAAGTTAAGAAACATGTATTCGTTTAAGCAAGTGAGAGAACTTAAGAAGACCAGGATAGTCTCATTTGCAAGAGTGTCAGCTTCCGGGATAAATACGCAACAATTAATCAACGCACACACTGAAATTAAGCTCAAGATCCATGCATCCAATTGTGCATTGAAGAATCTATTATTTATCGCTGACGCAAACTATAGGCGGTGTTTTTCTTCAGATGAATGAAACTAGAGACAGACTGTACGCGACAAAGCGCGTGCAAAGGACAGGGCGACGACAACAGCCGCCAGTTAGCCACTAAGTGGCGGTGATGTCACCAGGGCGCTTGTGCCACGATAGGCGTGCATGTTGAGGCCACATGAAGTGCGGAAGAAAGCTTGCGACTTGCAAGGGGGTCAGAGGACAGAACCTGGTGTTACAAGTTGACTGAGATGACTGGCAAATGGGACAGCACAAGCCAGATGACAAAGCAAAGCCAAGCATCCGTTCCTAAAATTCGAATCATGCCCAGGCAATGATCACCATCTATTGTAAATGGGCCGCCTTGCACGGTTGCCCGCGCTATATCTGAGCAGGCCCTACACCCTGCCTAGGATCCGACGATGCTCAGCTCGGGCTCCATGTGGGCACAGTGGCGCTGACCCACTCACTGCTTGCTTGCCATTGCGTCTAAATGGAGCGATTGTAATGAGCCATCCTTCAATGGAATCTTGACCATGAATTGTGGCAATTCATCTACTTTCTTCGGGTTACTCATCGTACAAATCTATGCCAGGACGCACGCAACGTAATCCAGCAACGTGGAGATCGTGTTGGCAAACCACTCCGCGATGGAGCCCTTCACTCGAGTGAGAATTCTTACAGCACCACGCAAATGCAGCCTGGATCCACGATTTGGAGTGGCTCCCATCCAGGATAACCCGCAGCTGAATAACCAACATTAATTCCATCATTCAGCGGCTGCCCACCCCATTTCTGAACAGATCCTTCCCTGCCCACCATCCGTTGGCGCCCAGGCTCGGGATCCAAGTGGGCACAAGAGGCATTTGCTCGCCATTGCGTATAAAAAGGGGAGCGATTGAAACGCGCGATTCCGTGGACAGTGAGTCACCGCTGTTACCGCGGCTTGCGCGGTACAGCAGCCACAAGCCGGTCTGTATCTGTGGGCAAGGTGCCGACCACGGTGAATGTGCTCAAAAGCAACAAAACTCATCTCCACCGGCTCCTGGCAAACCGCTTTCATGGTGTCAAATATTTATTTCTACTGACATAGACGTCATCAGATCATCTTCTATCGGCCAGCATGAAGCCACGTCTCACGGGTCCTGTGATGCAACAATCCACCAGACAAGCGCTTGAATACGAGTGGGGAAAAAAGTAATGGTCGACAAGGAATGAAACGCGTCTGAAAGGAGGAGACGGAGCGATTAAATCAGCTCGAGCAAAGGTGCCAGGTGGATTATTACGTGGTCGGCTCGTGAGAGGTGGTGACGGCTTGGGGAGGCCTTCATCCAGCAGTGGATTGACCTATGGCTGATGATGATAATGAAGAGGTTTATGTATATGGACGAATTGTGAATGCACTCCTGGATGAGGGCCTCCCCATGTCGTGCGGGTGGAAAAGTTACAGTGCAGGAATATTGTAAAACAAATATAAAACCCAGACTTAAAGCGTTCGTGACTGCAGGAATTCATATTCTTTGGGTCTTTCGGTAAAGCCACGGAGATAGAAAAAATAGAAATATCACGAAATTTCGATCGGAACACAAGCAATCTTCTTCTTTTTTCACCCGAAGACGATTGCTTGTGTTGCGATCGAAACGTCGTGATATTGTATCATTTTTTCTATCTACGTGGCTTTACCGAAAGACCCAAAGAATAAAAATATAAAACCCTTAGAAAGTGAAATGCTGTCTGTCGAGAATACTTTGACATGACTCACTGGCAGGGAAAATGACTGCCGGAGCAAAGTAATACATAAATATACAAGTTAAATACTGCGAAACCGATCATAGAGGCCAGCAGTGTGCACGCAAGCAGCATCACGGTGTCCAAAGCAAACGATTACCAGAGCACGGAGTTGGGTGCCGAGCGAGGGAACGGACTGCGCGCCTACTCCGTTTCCAGATTTTGCAAGTTAGCCACACGCATTCCTCTTGTGTCACCGTGACTCTTCGCTACCTCCACCTGCACCGGCAGCAGAAGCAGCGCCATCATCACCTCGATCACCACAACCTCCAACACTACACTACCAATTAAAACAGCACCACCAGCAGAAGCACAGGTGGTAGCAGCACCACCACCATGACCACCACCATCATCGCCACCACCTCTCTTGCAACCAGCATCACCACTTTCACCACCACCCTCATTCAACCACCACGATTTTCACATTAAAGCACTGGAATGCTCTTCCTTCCTATATTAGGAAGCCACTGGAGCTATGCACCTTTAAAACCAGATTGAAAACTAATTTCTTTATAACTGCTTTTGTATTTAGTTTGTTGTCCTTCCCCGCACCTCCGATTAGCACTGTTAGCTACGTACGTTCGCGAAAGAAGTTGAACATAGTTTAAACACGTAGGCTTTCGCGACCAATATTATCCACCATAAAGGTTTTACGGTTAGATCGCATAAATATGCAGGCAAATAGTAAGATTTGTCACATCAACAAAACGTGCCAACTACTTACTAGGGTGTGCTGGAGAGTTAACTCACAACATTTACAAATGGAGTACGACATTTCGCTGGTGATTACAACCAGCTTCATCAGGCGAATTTCCAGAATTGTGAGGAAGTCCTCAACACGCAGACACAATCAACGATCGGAAGAGCAGTGGTGGGGAGCGGGGTCGGAGGTCACGGCGGCGCCGTCTCTCACCGTTGTGCAACAGTTTGCGCATGCGCAGGTAGCTGATGGCGAGCCGCATGATAGAGGCCTTGTCGAGGTGCGAGGTGACGCTGTGGGGGAGAGGCAGCTCGTTGGCGAGCTCGTAGAACACCTCCGTCTCGTTGCTGCGCCGACATCGCGCAGCGTCGCGAGACTTCTCCTTCCGCCGCTCAGAGTTCACCCTGCTTGGGAGGGATAAGGTCGGCGGTGGCGGGGGGGGTGGGTCGGAAGGTGGAGGAGGAAAAAGGTCTTTTTTAAAATAGAGTCGCGATTACGAGCATCTGTGACTGGTCACGCGTGGCTCTGATCGGACGGGATCCGTCGCGCGTGTGGTGTGTCCCAACCAAAGTAAAGCTCTGTTCAGTGCAAGGGGTGCGCCCGGCTAAACGTCGTTCTCCTATCACGAGTACCAAGTCAGAAATAAGTTGGCATAACTTGGATTTTATTTCAAATGAAACTCGAATCGCTGACTCAATGTATGAAATATAGAAACATTCATATTTATTATAATCAAATGAATAACATGCTTTTGTTATTAAAAAACATTGTTTGGAATGGGGGCGTTAAATGGAAACTGCGCCTTTTCCCACCCCTGGGCTTGCGGGTGTATCTCTGATAAATGTATCGTCACCAGTACCGACACGTTTAACACGACAATTTCTGGGTTTCCAATTTTCACATTTGTTCCTATTGAAGTGCTGTACATTCGTCTTAAAAATGTGTTTTTTGGCAAGTCCATTTAACGAATAAAAATGCAAACGTCCTTTCAAAAACGTATCCTCCTCTGGAACCGGATAACAATAGACGTTTTTATGAATGCGTTGAATAAATGCATTTTCACATTCAGACCACTGCTGGTTTAACTCTCCTTTGTCGATCAACGCCGTGCAAGACCGGTTTACTGCCGGCTGTCGTGGGGCCACGACGCATGATTAGCAGAGGATGGTGCAGACAAACCCACTTGTTGTACTGCAATTCCACGCCCCGGCACCCATACATCCCGCACTCTCCAACCATCTCTGGCCGGTGTGGCGAACTATGGTCAAACAAAGCCGTCGTGGGGGGGGGGGCCCTCATCCAGCAGTGGATTGACATGCAACTCCTGTGACCGCGGCGGTTTGTAATTATAAGCCCAGGGCGTCACCGCGTGAAGCTGGTGCGGTGTGGCAGAGCACCTTGGTAACGCGCGCGGTGGTGCAGTGCAAACGAGGAGTGCCATGGGGGGGGGGCAGGTGGATGGGCGGCCAGTGGCCAAGCCTGTGTTTGTCAAAACAATGCGTACTAAATAACTGTGGAAAACTCAACAAGTGAATGTCTCCGGGGTGAATTCCAAACGACAGTGGTGGCCCGGGTTTCTGACCCTCCAAACAACTACCGCCACACACAGTTGCAAGGAAACAAAAAGAAAAACATCGTCGAGAACTGCAAACTCACCCCGCAGCAGCCAGATCTTTATCACTGTGGCCAGATAACAATGTACGAGCACGGAGAACAGATCAAACAGATTGTGCTGTAATGGTGTCTCAGCTTTATTGCAGATTCCATCCTTGCACAGCCGAAAACGATTAGAGATGAGGACACTGGACTTGCAATCCAGTTCACCAGTTCGATTCGATTATCCCGGGGGTGTGGCAGTTGAAACAACGCTGCAAGTTTATTACAACTCTCTGCCTCTGTCCACCCACCAACATTAAGAGCTAGGTTTATCGGCGGGTCTCGTACGCTGGGGTAAAGTGCGAGTACGACCAACTTTTCCAAGACGTCCTCTGGAGGGGTTCTCTAAAGCTGCCCTCTCAGGGAAGCCCTTCTGCTAGCAGCGGCATGAGTAAGTATTGTCAGGGCAGCGACTTTTAGATTTTTTTTATTAAACAGCAAACAGAGCCTTGAAAAAATTAGGTTATTAGCACGGTTGGCTATACATATGGTGCGCAAAAGTAGTTCAACATACATACATTATCGAGGTACACACGGAATGCCAATCAGCTGCCTGAATATCGCATAAAATACAACCAAGTACAAACAACAATAATCCTACTATGGGTTTAACGACACATACATTTCAATTGATTTAAAAATCGATTCTTACACTCACTATATATGCGTCAAATCGTGCGTGTGAAGCATATGTCTTCAGACCATTGATGTCGTAAGTAATTAGCATTGTGTGACCCCTGTAGCCACAAGAGGCACGAGCTTTAACCCGACGCTGTCGAGATGTTACCTCGTTGGCCAGGTATACAGGTGGTTGTGTGTTCGATCCTGACTGACGCCTGCTGTATGCTGTATATTTGGAGTTTGCGCGTCTCTCTCCCCGTGGTCGTGGATTTTTCTCCGGGTCCTCCGGTTTTTCCCTCCACATTTAGAATCAACGTCACGCGTTCAGAGTATTTGGCTGCTATCAATTTGCACGCGATAATAAGCCACTTTGTTGAGCTGTCCTTTGTGATAGCCAGGTCACTTCTACAAAAAATTGCTATAGCTCAGTTGGCCTTACCTGGTAAAAGAAAAAGTTTTTATAGTTGAGTAAAAAAAAATTCGATTCTACAGTCGAAGTGACTGCAAATCGTGAGAATTCAGCGAATCGATGAAGAGGCCCGAATCATCGCTAGTTAGTTCATGTGACCCTGCAGCAACAAGGTGCCAACTACAACCCACCACCATCATGTAAAAAAAGACAATTCTAGAGTTGAATCTTGACCCCAGAATCGGGCGAATTCATCAATTCAGAGACGCACGAAATCGTCACGGGCTAATTGATCACCGTGTCTGGGTGGAAACTAGACATGGGAGACCACATAGGCAAGCTTGCGTTTGTGCGCAATCCTCTGAAATGTTTCCACCTTATATATTTACTTAACGCACCCCTCTTTATTATATATAAAGTTATAAACCCTTCCAACCAACCCAGCCAGGGCTGCAGCAGCAACAGCCGGCGAGCGAGCAGCAAGGGGGAGGTGTGTCTCGCCACCGCAAGGGAGATACAAGGTCACGTTAAGGTCGCGCAGCTTACAGTGAAGCCCATCTCGCTTTTTTCTCTCTTTCGCGTAACAGGAAGTGGTGGAAATGTCACAAAGCCCCCTCGTGAGCAACACTAGTGACGCACGCGTTTGTGGTAACAGACACGCACACAATCGTGTGTCTGTGCGCGCGAGGGAGCCGTCGTGCAGTAGGCGGCACGCTGCGCGAGAAACACGGCGACCCGAGTTCGATCCCAGCAAACGGCCAACACCAGTGACGATTATCTGAACCGGTCCTGGGCCTCCCCGCCAGGGCGACTCATTCTTAAATTAGGACTGTGCCCGCTGCAATGTGTAAACCATGCCACTGGGGCGACTAAGGCGGCCCGGGCGTGTTTCTGGCCACACCACTTCGTCTGCCGTGCCAGCCTTCATAGGTGCCCGCTAACAGCACTTGCCCCAACACAGTCTGTTAAGGCTACGAGGGTGATAGTTACTGCCCGACTATGCTGATGCAACTCGGCATGTCGAAACCAGGTCAGAGTTTGTTTGCCTAAACAAAATACTGCTGGGTAACTTTTGTCTGGAAAGCCAATAGGTCCGACAGGCCATATTGTTTCCGACCCGCCCCTACTGGACATCAGTGAAAGAGCTTTATAGATCATCGGATTCCTTATATATTCATATATTGATTCTGCTTATTCATTCATGGACAGTGAGAGTTCCGTTTATGAGATATGCTTGTACCCACAATGCTCTATAGCAACGCACTCCGAACCCAGGTCATATGGGCTGGATTCCCAGCCATGGCTGACATGAGAGAGTGGTGGTGGTGGTGGAATGTAGGGTGTGTGTATATGGTGCGGAGGAGTTTGTGTGTGTGATCAGTTTAAGTAGATTAATTATGTTTTGTTAATCCAGGTGAGAACTTGAGAGACAAGGATAAACTCCTTTGCAAGTGTGAACTCGTTTGCGCGTGTATTTAGCTCGCCCACTGCTCTGCAATTTCGGTGACCTGGGTTCAATTCATGGCCAGAAGATCAAGTGTCATTATCCGTTCCGTTCCTGGGCCTTCACCAAGTCGAATCAGCCTTAAATGAATATCTGGTTTCAGCCACACCATCCGTCCGTGCCGCCACGCCAGGCCTTAAGAAGTGCTTGCTAACAGTACTTTGCCCAACTGTCTGATAAGAGCTATATGGGGGATATTTATATTTTGCGCGCGTTTGTGAGTGGTGGCTTAGTAGTTAGCGTACTGCGCTAGGAACCCTGCCATCGATGTTCCTGGCCCTAGCTAATGTCAGTGGCTTGTGATTTTTTGAAGTGATCCTGAGCCCTCACCGAGTTCAAAATGAGTACCTGGTGCGGTGTGCAACCAGCACGAGAAAGACAAAGGCGGCCAGGCTGGTTTCTGGACAAACCACACCTCTGTGCACTGTGTCAAGCTTAATAGGAACTCATTAAGAGCGCTTGCCCCAACCACCTCGTAAAGGTTACGTTTGTATGTTGAACTTCTTTCGCGCCACACATAGCCAACCGTGGCCTCACGGAGGTGTGGAAAAGTAGCCAAACTGCGACACTTGTTATCCGGGGAGGGGATCTCTGCAAACAAATTGACACACGCGCAAGTCTGGTCTGCCAGGTAGCCCATGCAGATCCAGAAATGGCCGTGTCCGTCAGGGGTCAACGGAGCCAGCATCGCGTAGGTCCCGTGCTTGTACTTTGGCAGCAGCTCACACGAGATTAAATTAAACTACGTTCTCAAGTGCAGAGCTTGATGGGTCTCAGCCGAGTTCCCTCCCGATGGTATTTGTTTTTTTTCTCATGAAATAAAAAAATCTTATTAAGTAAGACAAAAAGGTGATTGTTTTTAATGCTAATATATATTCATGGCACTTTATCAATCAATTACTGGACAAGGGCCTCCACACACAAGTGCCGGTCATATGGGGTTATGCGAGCACATTTCACGGCGGTGGTCGGTGCGGATCGGTGCAGGCAGAGAGCATAGACGTGGGAGAATGGATGTCATGACGGTCCCCACTTTGACGACGTTAAGACCGTCGGTGTGGTCTTAGCATGGAGTACGGTTTATACGGTGCACTGTGGTCTCTATCACCCATTACGTGAAGCGCACAAAAATAAGTCTGTAAAAATATTGTACCCTGGTTGAATTTTAACCTTACTTACCAGAGTTGCCCTGACAGTGTACACGCTCACAGCTT